GAATACCATGAAAAATAAGTGGTGAAGAAGCATGGCTCATTTCCCTCTGTGATTTCGTATAATGGAACTTTTGGGGACAAGCCGTTTAGGAAACCAGCCAGAACTATGTTTCTCTGCACAAAACAGAGATATAAATCAAAGGATATTTATTGGGCCAGCTTTGTATTAGAGCTGAAGCTTTATCCATATTTCTTCAAGCTGAAATTTTAAAAAGTTGGTTGTCACACCTGTCAGGCTATTTTTCCCAGTTGTACACAAGGTTTCACACCATTCATCTGAATTATTTAATAATCAACTTACAGATCATTATCTCATGATCGACAAAACAAAGGGAAGCATCATCAAAAGACTGTTTACAGTTACATACAAGGTCAAGATCCCATATATCTATCGAATTGTCGATTGATCCGAGCGCTACAAAGTTCCCTACCAACACCTAAAGCAAAACTTGAGAAAAATGATGATCTCATCCACAGGAAAAAAAGAAGTCGCTTGGATACACACTAACCTTTTTCCCCTTCTTTGAGAGGACAATCAAGACATGTTGTGCACAATGGAACCTCGGATATAATCACGTCATGACGAAGATACATGTTCCCGGATTCCTCGTATACATAAAGAAGTATTGATCAATCACGTAAAGAAAACCAGTTAAAAGAAATAATAATGAACATCAGAGACGTAATAAAGGTGAAAGGAACACAAACTAATTCAGTAAAAAAGGTTCAAGGAACTTATTTGAATGCGTTAACAAAGTGACTCAAATCAAAGTACTCCTTCATGTTGTCAAATGAATTTTAGCTCAGGTAGCAACCAAATAGATATTAAGTAGTAATAAGTTTCAACAGCTATTAAACCAAGTATTGAATAACCAAAGGGAGGAAAAATCTATAGAAAAGTTAGACTTACCTGGCGAATGCGAAAAGGGTCATGAGTTTCAGACGCCATGAATTTTTTAGGGTTGAAGCGTATGTTTAAAACATTTCCAGATTTCATCGATTCACCACGGACGAGACTGCTTAGTATCTACAGACGAAACTCTTTCAATTCCTTCTTCAATTGGTTCAGATCAGATTTACACTCTTTTAGTTTAGAAAGATACAAAACTTTAGCACTCGGCTGCAAACTTCTAGCCTATATTGAGTTTAAAAACTAGAACAGAACGGTATAAACATTAAGCAAGTTGACTGTAAATACCAAGACATCAGCTTCTTCTAATCATGACTTGATCTCAGTAATCTTCCACTTCTTCTACCTTGCAAAAGCTCATAACTATATCTAATCATATCTCTACTCTGGTTCTATGGCACCACAAAATGTAACGACTTGGAGCATGTCAATTACGAATAGATTTTCTTGCAGCAACAATCAAAAGAAATACCTGAAGGACAACCATATGTTGAAAAGTGCAACAAATTGTGGAGGTTCTTTATCCTCAAATATAGGAGCCTGCAAGAAGATCAAATTATTTAACAATGTTTCAGTGCTAGTGGCTATTACTTACAATAACAAAACAAGGTACCTGCACTGGTCTTCCCTTCAACGAAATTTTCATTGTGTTCGCTAGACGAACTGCTGTTTCTTGATCTTCCTAAACTTGGAGAAAAAAAAACAGAGCCTGCTAACAAAATCAATGACATCATCCTTAAGAAAGAAGTAGCCAAACAACTCACATACCGGACTAAAAATGGTTGTGAGAAAATAAGAAAATAAAAGCCAATTAAGAAGTATTGATCAATCAGGTATACTCAGAAAATGAAACATTACAAAAGGATATTAATTCGGGCAACTCCAAGGCACACATCATAAAGAAGTATTGATCAATAAAGTATTTTGAAAACCTGTTAAAAAGAAACAATAATGAACAATTGCAGAGACGTGATAAAGGTGAAAGGAACACAAACTAATTCAGTAAAAAGGATTCAAGGAACTTATTTGAATGTGTGAACCAACTGACTCATGACAAAATACTCCTAGTTGTTAAATGAATTTCAGCTCATGTTGCAACCAAATAAATATTCAGTAGTAATAAGTGTCAACAGCTATTAAACCAAGTATTGAATAACCAAAGGGAGGAAAGCTCTACAGAAAAGCTACACTTACCTGGCGAATGAGAAAAGGGTCATTCAACAAATTGATGTTTCGAATAAGGAAAAAAAAACAGAACAGCCAGGGATATGAAAGTACCATGTTATGATTTGAAAGAACAGCCACTGGTTTAATCATGTCAAATATTTGACAAAGAGTAAAAAAAAACTGCATTCCGTTCAGAGTGATCTCCAGCCAGGTCTATATAGGGACTTGAACCTGCAAACGTGGTTTAAATCATATCAAGGGAAAAAAAAACACAAAGCTGCCAAGATCATGTGTTTAACATCCATGGGAGATAGATGAGCATACCAGTGAGGCATCATATCATATGATGAATGGAAACGAGCAACATATCACTATGTATTCTATGTTCATGAAATAATGGATAGTGAATTCAAAATCTCAGGTAGACATTATTGTTTCATCAAGACAAAATGTTTAGAGTGACATACTGTGAACTATACATTTAGAGTGAGATATTGTGAACTAAGCAGCGAAAGGACAAAATGGCTGAAGAGAAGAAGGGAAGAGACGAGTACCAATACTCAAGACTAGGCTCAGATAGTCAGTTGACTTATCCTCCTCAGCTGCTACAAAAACAAGTTAGTCAGGTACATACTTGATACTACCTCAATAGTAAGATGATCCACTACTCATATTACATACCGGAGCTGCTCCAAAGCTATCATATGATCCTGGATCACATGAGCATACAAGAGAGAGTTCATGTAACAACAGAGGTTCCCAAAACTGAACGGAACACATGAACATACAAGAGAGAGTTCATGTAATAAGAATATCCTCCAACAACAACAAGTCAACAAAGAACCTGAGGACCATCAAAATGAAAAACAGAGAAAATTTTCTTTGACTCCTATTTCTCCCATAATGTTTGCAACTCCTAAAAAAAGTCAAAATTGAAATTTCGGTTAGTAATTAGAAAAGCCAAACATCAAATAACATTGAAATTAAGAAAAGGCAAGAGAACTAGAAACCCAAAATTAACAATGTAAACAATGTAGCGACAGAAGAACAAGGGACTTAATTCACCAACGGAAGATCTCAATAACGCATATAGAAGAAGCGAGTCTCAGTAACCCAATGAGCAACTAAACTATGTATCTCTGCACAAAAACGAGGAGGAATAACTTATGCTGAGAAGCAAATGAAGCATATTACTTGGCTAATCACAAAGGCAGTTTGTTTTTCCTTTGGGTCAACACATTGACCAACCCAGATAAATTTCAGCATGAGTAAATGCATTTCTTCCGTCAAGAGGTCAAAATTTTTGAATCTCTTCAACCTGTGCAAGGTCATGTTAAAACATGCACACATCTTGAAAACTGATAAGAAAACGTTGGATAATTTTTCTAAATTCTCACCTGAAATTTTCCTAAGATTCCATGTAGACACATTGAAAAGAAGAAGATAGTTAGAATATGCAAGTTTTTCAACAACAAATATGACCCTATTAGAGATGCTTTGACACTCATAATTGATGTCCCAATTTTAGTTACCTCTGTTGAAGAAAAAGGAGAACAAGTGACAGTCTCGGAGGAAACCTTCTTGCTGGTGAGTGGTGAAGTTCTTTTTTTCCCCAAGTGAAAACCAAAAGGATGAGCTCTCTATTCCCTCTTTTGCGTGCTTGACTGACAGTAATCCCATGCTAACTTTGCAAGAAAGAATTAAAATGCGTATGAGTGACATTTTGTTTAATAAGGTTTTTCTACTTTAGCCTGTTCAAAAACTTGTCTACCTATTCGTGATCGTGTAATGTTAGAATTTTAAACGAGAGAAAAGAAGGTAGAAAAGTACCGCTTCAACTTGTAGTACCTTATTATTGTGACCTCCATTTCAATTGATTCCATCGTGTAGGTTTTTTTGATGAACCTTTCTCTGTCATTCTATTTTTGTAACCAGAACTCAAACCACCCTAAAAGTTATTGTAACTATATCAATTACGAATAGATTTTCTTGCCGCAACAGTCAATAACAATCAAAAGAAATACCTTAAGGACCACCATATGTTGAAAAACTGCAACAAATTGTGGAGGTTCTTTACCCTCAAATATACGGGCCTGCAAGAAGATCAATTTATTCAACAATCTTTCTGTGCTAGTGGCTATTACTTACAATAACAAAACAAGGTACCTGCACTGGTCTTCCCTTCAACGAATTTTTCATTGTGCTCGCTAGACGAACTGCTGTTTCTTGATCCTCCTAAAGTTGGGAGAAAAAAAAGAAAGTCAGGTGGCTAAATTCAACATGTTTAAATATATATACATAAAGCCATAAACTGGATAGATGAAATCCATCAAAATAGATATTTATTGTAGTTTCAAACTTAGACGATCATCTCATGTCATTGTAGCATCAAACAACTGTATAAATAAAAAGTCCAGGGAGAGAGGAACATTGGACCTCTTTTCTTTGTGCACTCTTTGATCTCTACTTTGCTTCTCTCTCGGCTATTCTGAAACAGTCAACGTTAACCACCAATCCTATCTCTTCAGTCATCAACTGAAACAAGAGAATGAAAATTAAGATTTACATTTTGCCTAAGATGAAAATCAGTAAGCACAACCAGTTTTCAGCCATATATGTGCCTTAACCCCTAATATATTATTTCCATGACAGAGAACCTCATTGAACATGAGATCCATAGCCTTCATGGAAGTTCACATGATATGTCAATATCTCCATATTTCTATTAGAAAGAATCTAGTAGTAACATAAAAAAATGAGCTTCTACTGTTTACCGGAGAGCAGAAGAAGCATTAAATGCGGAAGGCAAGGCAGCTAAAGCAGCAGCCCTTTGCCTTGGTCCTTGGTTCCCACTGCCAGACTAATCCTGCAGCACAAGGGTAAATTGTAAATAAATGTTTCAGGAATGTAATGTAGTATATTACAAAGGAAAGGCATCATTATTACCTTTCGCTTACAAAAAAATAACAGTTCAGATTCAAAATCTGAGGTATCCAGATAAGTAATCATATGCAATCAAAAGAATCACATGTTTGCCAAACAAATTATGGTTTGATGACATGGGGTTGCCAATTGCTGTCATAATGTTTTAAGAAAAACAGTTAATAACCCAATGAGATCCAAAACTAAAGTAAGGTAGGAAACGAGTAAAACCCATGAAACCATAACACAATGCTCAAGCAGCCAAGTCAGACACCGCATAACTCCAAACCACTGCATCTACAAAAGAAAGCCACATGTTGCAATTTAGGAGCCAAAACCTATAGTAGAAGCGTTTCTCACTTTGAGAAAGAAAGAGACCAAAACGTGAATATCCCCAGTATCTGCAAAACATAGCACCACACGTTGAAAGGTCATCGAAACACTGAAGATTAAAACTAAGGACAATTCTATTACGAAACTCCACACAAAACCTTTCAAATTAAGTCTATTCCACATTATGATTTTCACTTATTAGCTACTTCGGAAGAAAGAAGAAGAGACCCAAAACGATAGCGATGATGATGATTGGTCAAAATTGCTTCAATTAGTCACCTGCAATTTATCGGTAGAATCAGATACATACATGAAAATAAAACCCTAAAATCATACATCACATTTAACACAGAATTAAGAAAGAGAACCAGAAACACAAAAGCTTTGGTAATTAGTGTGTGAAAAATACGAGAGCGATGTGATAAACCCCACCTGAATCATGTGAAAGACCAAATCTTTAATCTACTCTTCCATTTGATAATCTATGGCTAGATCATAACCAAAATTTTTTATTTACTACTCTTAGATAGATGCATATTTTAGAAACTTTTATTACCTCTGGTTTTGTATTTCAGGGTTCTTGGTTAGTATGTATTGGCACCCCTGAATCCTCTGCCTTTTCTTGTAAGCTAGCGTTTTGCAGTGTTCTCGTTACCAGTCCAACTTTTCCGTCAGCAATTACACGCTCATCGATATTCACAACCTGTAACCAAAGAAGAGGAGATTATTATGCTAAAAGACTTGATGTTTTCACTAGACTTAATGTTAAGTAAGATCATTTGAAGATGTCATCAAGAACTTTAGCTATAGGTTACACTTATTCAAAGTTTTAATGAAAAATTATTGTTTTCAGTTAGTAAATCTCATAGATTCAGGTTCAGAACGATTGAGGATGGTTTGTCCGTAAGCTACTAGAGACCGTACATACCGGGCTTAGTCCTCCCATAGTTCCTGTTAAAACAAAACCAATGTTAGATTTTTCTAGAGAAAGAGAGTGGCACGGATAAATCGAGTAAAAGTTACTCTAAATCATCACAAAGACTGGGTAGTTTAGTCTGCATGTATATATGGATGGCATAACATGTAGGAGAAAAAGACATCTTTATGAAACTTTCACATATTACAGAAACAAAACCTCGGGATCTAGCTGAAGCTGATCCGCATAGATGACTGCTGGTGGTGTTCCCATCTCACATACATATCAAAACTAATTCCCCTAAGCCTAATTCGAGAAACGATGGAAGGTGTACCTTCGCAGAGGAAGGCTGCAAAAAGGATAAACAGAGAAGAACATTAGATGAAACATTGGCTAAAGCTTAGAACCGGGGTTTGATGAGAAATCCTAACCAGTATGTGAAGAGGATTTCGTATCAATATGAAATGCTTTCCTTTACTCATCAGTTCACTTGGAAAACCGAAAAGCATTACCAAAAAAGGGCAACTGCTTAGCTTGTCTACCGCATCCATCTCCAGAATGTTTAAGTCCTTAACTGAACCATTTTTAGAGCGATGAAAAAATAAAACCTGTTAAAAGAACAATAATGAACATCAGAGACGTGATAAAGGTGAAAGGAACACAAACAAATTGAGTATAAAAGGTTCAAGGAACTTATTTGAATGAGTTAACCAAGTGACTCAGGTGAAAGTACTCCTTCCTGTTTTCAAAAGAATTTCAGCTCATGTTGTAACCAAATAAATATCCAATAGTAATAAGTTTCAACAGCTATTAAACCAAGGATTGAATAACCAAATGGAGGAAAACTCTATAGAAAAGCTCGACTTACTTGGCGAATGAAAAAAGGGTCACAAGTTTCAAATCATCACAAAGACCGTGTAGTTTAGTCTGCATGTATATATTGATGGCATACATGTAATAGAAAAAGACATCTTAGTTAAAATTTACTTATTACAGAAACAAAACCTAGGGATCTCGCTGAAGCTCATCTGCATTGATGACTGCTGGTGGTGTTCCCATCTGTCAGAGATCACTGTATATCGACACTAATTCCCCCAAGCCTAATTCGAGAAACAGAAAAGAGCATTAGATGAAACATTGGCTAAAGTTGAGAACCAGTGTTTGATGAGAAAGTCAAACCAGTATTTTAAGAGGATTTCGTATCAATATGAAATGCTTTCCTTTACTCATTAGTTCACTTGGCAAACCGAAAAGCCTATTCAGAGCTCAGACAGAACAACACACTATCTTTTTTTAAAAAAAGAGACAACAAAGAAAGTTTGATAATATTTAACTTACAATACCTGTATTTCTTCGATCCTGATCCAAGAGACCAAGTGAAGTGAGTGATCTGAAACCCACAACAAGACACAAGCCAAAACTCCATTTCTCTGATTTTGTAATTGTTAGATATCCTGCACACAAAAAAGTCTCACACGCATAAGTAAGAAAATGTAAAATTGCAATTCTACATTTTTACTTTTGTTTCTCCAAAACTTAACCATTCTGCTGAAGAATACTTTTCTTAAGCACTTGCATAACTTCAACGCCACTCTTATGCCAACACCAATATCAGCTTCTTGAATCATTCCAACATCATTTTCACCATCACCGATTTCCAAAGTCGTTTTTCCTGTTCCTTCTTTGGCTAGCCGTGTTACCTAGAAACATATATTTTTAGAGTTGTGGAGTTATTCATACAAGTGCTTTCTGTTAGGGAGAGACACGACAACAGATCACTGATGCACAGTCAAATTCAAAGGCAAGAAACCCTATGTTTATCGCTGTCTCCAACTTATCTCCTTTCAAACCCCATATCTTGAGACCAGCTTGGGCAAGTTTATCTATGCATTGAACTCAAACAGTATGTTGAAAAGGATTTTCGAAAAGGCCCGTCTTTGTAATAATCACAATTACACTATGATTCTTACCCTTGTTTGTACTTACGGATATACACCTTTTCACTCATATGCTGCAATAGACCAATACTGGTAAAGAACTTACCCTCTTTGTGATGCCTAAATTGTTAATTCTGGTGTTCGTGGAGGTGATTTTGATGATATAAAGCTTCAGCGCCTTGACCTCCACTTGAACTGTCTCGGCTCTGCAGTTAAAGCAAAGAGCGTGTAAGTCAACAGATCAAGAACATGGGACACTAGTAGCTGTGATTTGCTAAACATGTCATAGTAAAAAGAACTAGCAATAGCTGAAAAGCAGTAAGCACAAGCAATTAAATCTGAAGACCATCATTGAGCAAAAAACAGACAAAACCTGAAGACCATCAAAAGAAAGCCGCCTCTCGAGTCAACCAATTAGGAATCAAAAAGTATCATACAGGTCTCACCTCAATCATGAATTGATTCTGAGTTAAACCCACACAAACTTGCAGTAAATGCATGTTAACTTTGGTCCAAAAATCCAAGGCTGAGACAAATTCAGAGAGTAAATTAGGTAAGAGATATAGAAACTTATCTAATCTGGACTGTGATCGCTCCCTTGCAAGCAAATAGCAGTTTTATCCAACCTTGGAAATGATGAAGCCCGCGAGATGATAAAGCCCACTCACGAGACTAAGCCAGGAACCCCAATGTGATCTCTAGCAAGAACTTAAGAGTTTTGAATACACAGAAGGACCGTTAGCACTAAGGAATAATGGGGAACGATCTAAAAGCAACTTCTTTTGCGTCTTCCACATAGTTTTAATAATAATAAGTAAGTTCAATAAAAAGTTAAGCCTCCAACAAGAATATGTGACTATGATTTAGACTCTAAGAAAACGTTTAGTCAAAGGACATAAACAACCCTAGAGATTCAGGAAACTACAGATAGAAAACCATCCTCCTAAGCGACTAAAGCAAGAGCCAAAACATGAACGCTCTATAATAAAGAGAACCTAACACAAAGAAGTGAACCCACATAAACAAGAGCCGAAGAAACTGATCTATACAATCACTTTTGCCAACGAATCACAAAAACATTATCTCTCTGAAGAACAGAAGGAACCTGAAAATCCTAGAGCACAAGTGTTTCTCATTTTGAGAAGCTCTACAACCAAAATCAAGTAATATAGGTATGAAGAAAAAAAAGGATACGAAACCTGAGGACCATTAAAAGAAACAGACCAAAACGTGCTAGCTTTCTCGTACAGAGCTTCGCTTATCTCTGGACCCGTCATTGTATCTACTTCTCGTGTAATACAAAGAAAGGCATTGTTATCTGCAAAATCCGATCACATGTTGTCTTGGTCAAGTAATTTTGTCAGGAAACTCATATCATGGGATCAAAAATAGTATATAAGAGTCATGAACTTCGTGGAGAGTATCTTCGAGGTTCATGCTTGTCCTGAGCATCTCAAGTGCGGTTTTAAGCCTAGGATTGTCTTGATATATCAGCTTGTTGTCCCCTACCTGCATTTACACATATCAAACTATTTAACTCAATCACGTCTTTTGTTAGAACTATTTTCCATTTGGTATGATTTCTTCGACTCTAGTTAAAGTTTACTAATAGGTAGCCAAGTTTTGAACAGATTGAATTAGAAAATGTACTTAGCAAGAGAGAAAGTAAGGTAGAAAAGTACCACTTCAACTTGTAGTGCCTTATTATTGTGAACTCCAGTTCCAGATATTTGAATAAGTGCAACTGATTCCATCGTGTCAGTTTCGTCTGATGAACCTTTCTCTGTCATTCTATTTTTGTAACCAGAACTCAAGCCACCCTAAAAGTTAATGTAACTATAACAATTACGAATAGAACTGCAACCACACAGATCAGCCAATCTATAAACATGGGAACCAATACCTTAAACAAGGGAAGATAATGAAAAACTTCAATGTGAATAACACAAAATTAGTAATCAACATAAACATGAAAACCACAGATGCAATATAGATCCTGGAAAAGAAATCACCATGAAACAAGAAATGTACTCAAAGAACAAATATGCTTCCTAGAAACTGAGCTGCATCAAAATTAGAATTATCCAAATCAAACCAAGTAAAAATTAGTATATTATAACATCTTAAAACGGTAACAAAATCAATGACATAAACCTTGAGAAAGAAGTAGCCAAACCCTTAAATACCTGACCAAAAATGGTTTATATTCCTGAAGAACTCATAGATGATGAAGTCGTTCTTCTCCCTCTAAGTAAAAACCTAAAAGCCTCACAAGATTACGATGTTGATGTTTCGCAACCAACGAGACTTCGTTTACGAACTCATTGTCTCCTTGTCCTGATTTCATTGACAATCTTTTCACCGCTCTCTTCCCAGAATCAAGAACACCCTGGTGATTATTGAAACACATGTTACGAGATTGAATCATCCAAAAAACGTCTAACTAAGATCATAAACATAAGAAACACTTATCAACCTTATAAACTGCACCAGATCCACCTTCACCAAGCACCAAGATGGTTGTTTGGAGAGAAGTCATTAGTTGCTAATCTTATGGTGTCAAAGTCAAGTTGCAATAATTGAGCATCTTTAGTTTATGGTCTTCGACATCTTTGCTTGATCCTAAAGCAATAAAATTAAAAGGGTGTTTAAAGTTAAAACTCTCGAGAAAATAGTTTTAACCTAAAACGAATAACCGTTTTACCTTCAAGTCTCTGTTTTGCTTTCTTCTATTCCTTTCAACAAGAAGTAAAAGAGGGTCTAAGTCAACATATCAAGAACATGGGATACTAGTAGCTGTAATTTGCTAAACATGTCTTAGTAATAAGCAACTCGCAAAAGTCAGTTTCTAATATGTTTTGTGCCTAAGATGAAAAGCAGTAAGCACAACCAGTTTCCAGCCATATATATTATTTGATGGCAAGTCAAAGGTTTTGATAACGATGCCTTCTTCTGGAAGGAATTCCCTTGCACCTGTGATAAACATACCAAAGCTAAATTTAATGAGAAAAAGGAGTCGCAGTTAACAGAAAAGTCGATGACAGTCAGGTTCTGGCAGCTTCCCCTCTATAAATGCAAGGAAACATAAAACACATGCATGTAGTATCTCTAGAACGTGGTGTGTTAATTACTCTACTGGTCATTTTAGCAAATGAGATTCAATCCCTAACGTCAATATGTATAAGTGTGCTGAAAACCGATTTGGCATGTGCCAAAACTACATAATTTAATTGCTTTTAAATGAGTATGTTCTCTAACACAATCACATTAACTAGCACCATACTTAAAATAGACCCCCTTCTCATATGGTTTAGACTCTAAGAAAACGTTTAGTCAAAGAACATAGACAACTAAACATAGTTCAGGAAACAACTAATACAAAATCATCCACCTAAGCAAGCGTGAAAACATGAACGCTCTATAATAAAGAGAACCTAACACAAAGAAGTGAACCCACATATTCAAGAGCCGAAACAACTGATCTATACAATCCCTTTGGTCAACTAATCACAATGAACTTCCAACATAACATTAACTCTCTAAAGAACAGATGGAACGTGAAAATCCAAATATTGGAACATCAAAATCTATACGTATCTAGAATCATCGACAACCTATAACCAAGAGATAAAACACAAAAATTAACCAATTCAAGCAGCTTAGATATCAAACAAAAAAACACATCCAAAGATAATCGCTTAAAAACCAGTGCAAGAATTACTGCAAGATTGTTATAGCAAATGTAACTGATATCAAAACAATTACTAGCACACCCTACATGCTATCAAATCACAATATTGAAACAGACCAAATACTGATAAAGGCATGAAATAAGATGACCTTTTAAACCTCTTCGAAAACTAATTCATGTATATACATCCTGACTTATATTTACCAAGAACATGCAAAAAATCTATTCACGTGTCTAGATTCATTGCAGTGCTAAGACAAAAAGCACAACCAAACAAAAAAAAATTCCAATTTCACCAGAGAGATGGCTAATATGCAGAGCAAACGATTTATTGGAAGCAAGATCCTTAACACTATACGCAATAGCTTCTTTCTTTCTTCAACAAAAGAATATGAATTTAGATGCAACATCTGAGTTATCCAAACAAAAAAAAAAAAGACAAACCTGTAACAACATACATTCAAAAGGATCATCTGTTGGCTGTTGCGGAACTGCAGTTTTAATGTACCAACTTTCTGCCAGAAAAATTTGATATCAGCAAATTTGTAAATAGATACTGTAATTTCAAACTTAGAACATCGTCTCATGTCAGTGTAGCATCAATCAACCGTAAAAATAAAAAGTACAGGGAGAGCGAAATATGGGACCTCATTTCTTTGTGCACTCTTTGATCTTTACTTTGCTTCTCTTTCGGCTTTTCTGAAACAGTCAACTTTAACCACCAATCCTATCTCTTCAGCTATCAACTGAAACAAGAGAATGAAAATTAAGAAAGAGCACATAACTTTTAGAAAAGAACGACCAATAAAGTAAATAGCCGAGTCAAATCTAATGTAGGTTGTGTTCAAAGAGAGGCTAATGTTACAGAATAAGGACTTCGCCACAACAACAAAAAAAACAAAAAACAATTAACAAAAAAAAGAAGAGAAACTAAAGAGAACCTTTGGTATCACCTAATATCTTTGGAAAGGCACAATCTCTAAAGTGAGAATAGAAAAGCCAACAGACGCAACAAGGAAAATGTTTTTCTTGGAACTTCAACAATTTCTAAACACACAAAATCGAGAAGAAAATAAACATAATAAATGACAGACATATCGTAGAGCAGAGAAGAGCTTTCACTCTCCATAGCAAATCACAGACATATCGTAGAGTAGAGAAGAGCTTTCACTTTTCATAGCAAATCGCAGACATATAGTAGAGCAGAGAAGAGCTTTCATTCTCACAGACATTTTAGTTAATGAGAAAGACTAAAACCATTTGGAAAACTAATTTTATGGCCGGGTTGGTAATATAAGTTAAAGCAAACAGAAAGCAGCAAACATGCATACCTTTAGAGAAAAATTCAACCTGCACGCGTTAGACTATATAAAAAATAAAACAAGTAGTAGAATCTAAATGAGAGAAACACACCATATAAGGCAAAATTCTCCCATACTTCAAGTTTTCCATACCTGAAAAAAAAAAACTAATGTTAGATTTGGTTGAAATAATGAAGTCAACCATCTACTATGTAAGAAAAAGGTGTCTAGTACCGGGAGTGATAATAAAAGTAGGAATGCTGTCACTAGAACGGACCACACAAATAGGGGTAATCTATGCATAGTCATTCCAGGTCCACGATAAGGCGCAATGTAATTAGAAGAAGAAAATAGCTTCATCGAGTCTTTACATTCGCTTAAAAAAAAAAATTGATCAAGAAGAAACCATTCTCCATCGGGAAACGAACAGAACATGGCAGAGCTTGCACTCTCGACTCCATGGTGGAAACAAGAAGTACTTCACATATAAACAGAAAAAAAAACAATCACGAAGCCAAAAAGAATATTAAAACAAATAGGATACGTAGATAGGAATAAAGGATATTTATTGGGCCAGCTTCCTCTCTTCTCATCCAAGACACAACATGAAGAAGTGTTGATAAATCTTCAGCTCCTTCAGTTAAAGCAAAGAACTTCTAAGTCAACAGATCAAGAACATGGGACACTAGTAGATGTGATTTGCTAAACATGTCATAGTAAAAAGCAACTAGCAAAATCAAGTCTCTAATTAGATTTACGTTCTGTACCTAAGCGGAAAAGCAGTAAGCACAACCAATTTCCAGCCTTAACCACTAATATATTATTTGATGGCAGTTTAAAGGTTTGGATAAGTTCGAAAAATCCATGACCTCATTTAACATGAGACCCATAGCTTTTTTTCTTCACGGAAGTTCATGATATGTCAATAGCTTCATATTTGTATCAGAAAGAAACATCATAAAAATGAGTTTATACTATTTACCGAAGAGCTTCTTTCCCGGAAGAAGAATAATATGCAGAAGTCAAGGCAGCTAGAGCAGCAGCCCTTTGCCTTGGTCCTTGGTTACCACTTCTAGTCTGATCCTGCAGCAGAAGGGTAAATTGTAAACAAATGTTTAAACATCAAATTTTCCATCGTCACATCTGTTCTTACCTCCTACTGTTGAACATAAAAGCAAGGAAACATAAAACACATGCATGTAGTATCTCTAGAACGTGGTGTGTACCAAGTAATAATGCTGCCTTCTTCTGGAAGGAATTCCCTTGCACCTGTGTTACAAGTAAACATACCAAAGCTAAACTTAATGAGAAAAAGAAGTCGAAGTTAACGAAAAACGGAATTGGCATTTGCATACAGTGTAACAAACTTAATTTCTTTTAAATGAGTATGTTCCCAAACCCTCTTTAACACAATCACATTAACTAGCACCATACTTCAAAATAGACCACATTCTCATGCTAATTATGCAAAACATATCTGCGATCAGAAAACCTTACAGTAGCTTTAGTAGAATACCATGAAAAATAAGTGGTGAAGAAGCATGGCTCATTTCCCTCTGTGGTTTCGTATAATGGAACTTTTGGAGACAAGCCGTTCAGGGAACCAGCCAGAACTATGTATCCTGCACAAAACTGTACAAAAAGCAAACAAGATAGAAAACGAGGAGGAATAACTTATGCTGAGAAGCAAAGCTGATGAAGCATATTACTTGGCTAATCTCAAAGGTAGTTTGTTTTTCCTTTGGGTCCACACATTGACCAACCCAGATAAATTTCAGCATGAGTAAATGCATTTCTTCCGTCAAGAGGTCAAAATTTTTGAATCTCTTCAACCTGTGCAAGGTCATGTTAAACAACTGTATAAATAAAAAGTCCAGGGAGAGAGGAACATTGGACCTCTTTTCTTTGTGCACTCTTTGATCTCTACTTTGCTTCTCTCTCGGCTATTCTGAAACAGTCAACGTTAACCACCAATCCTATCTCTTCAGTCATCAACTGAAACAAGATAATGAAAATTAAGATTTACGTTTTGCCTAAGATGAAAATCAGTAAGCACAACCAGTTTTCAGCCATATATGTGCCTTAACCCCTAATATATTATTTCCATGACAGAGAACCTCATTGAACATGAGATCCATAGCCTTCATGGAAGTTCACATGATATGTCAATATCTCCATATTTCTATTAGAAAGAATGTAGTGGAAACATAACAAAATGAGCTTCTACTGTTTTCCGGAGAGCTTGTTTTCCCGGAAGAAGAATTAAATGCAGAAGTCAAGGCAGCTAAAGCAGCAGCCCTTTGCCTTGGTCCTAGGTTACCACTGCTAGACTGATCCTGCAGTAGAAGGGTAAATTCCAAACACCTGATCATCCAATGAAATACAAAAATAAAGTAAAGTAGGTATACAAAGATAGGAAACGAGTAAAACCACAAATAGCCACAAGAGAACGTTGCAATGTTCAATCAACGCTCAAGCAGCCAAATCAGACACCAAGCACTCCAAACCACTGCATCGACAGAAGAAAGCCACATGTTGCAATTTAGGAGTACAACTGTTTCTCATTTGAGAAGATCTACAACCTAAATCAAGTAAGTAATATAGGTAAAAAAAAAAAGAGACGAAACCTGAGGACCATTAAAAGAAAGAGACCAAAACGTGCTAGCTTTCTCGTACAGGGCTTTCCTTATCTTTGGATCTGTCACTATATCTGCTTCTCCGTGTAATACAAAGAAAGGTATTGTTATCTGCACAATCCGACCACATGTTGCCTTAGTCAAGTAATTTTGTCAGGAAACTCATATCATGGGATCAAAAATAATATATAAGTAATGAAACTCGTGGAGAGTATCTTCGAGGTTCTTGCTTGTCCTGAGCATCTCAAGTGCTGTTTAAGCCTAGCCTTGTCTTGATATATCAGCTTGTTGTCCCTTACCTGCATTTAAATACACAGACAAAACCTGAAGACCATGAAAAGAAAGAGATAAGGAAGTTGTCGCTCCAGTCGATCAATTAGGAACCAAAAATTATCATACAGGTCTAACCTCCAATATGAAATGATTCTGTGTTAAACCTCACACGAACTTGCAGAAAAAAAAACATTACCACAAAAATGGCGACTGCTAATCGTGTCCTGTAAATTTTTAACACAATATCATATTGGCGATAGCTTACATTATAAGAAAGAAAAAATACCATAAATCAGTTACCATATCATGGAGAACACTCTGGTCAGTATTTAGTCTGTCTACCATATCCATCTCCAGAATGTTTAAGCCCTTAGCTGAACCTATATTTCCAAAGAAACTGTCAAAAAAATAAAGAGCGGATAGACACAACCATCATCAAGCAAAAGATATAAATCAAAGGATATTTATTGGGCCAGCTTTGTATTAGAGCTGAAGCTTTATCCACATTTCTTCAAGCTGAAATTTTAAAAAGTTGGTTGTCACACCTGTCCGGCTATTTTTCCCAGTTGTACACAAGGTTGCACACCATTCACCTGAATTATTAAATAATCAACTTACAGATCATTATCTCATGATCGATAAAACAAAAGGTAAGCATCATCAAAAGACTGTTTATAGTTACATACAAGGTCAAGATCCCATAAATCTATCGAATAGTCCATTGATCCGAGCGCTACAAAGTTCCCTACCAACACCTAAAGCAAAACTTGAGAAAAATGATAATCTCATCCACAAGAAAAAAAGAAGTCGCTTGGATACACACTAACCTTTTTCCCCTTCTTTGAGAGGACAATCAAGCCATGTTGTGCACTATGGAACCTCGGATATAATCACGTCATGACGAAGATACATGTTCCCGGATTCCTCGTATACATAAAGAAGTATTGATCAATCACGTAAAGAAAACCAGTTAAGAAACAATAATGAACATCAGAGACGTAATAAAGGTGAAAGGAACACAAACTAATTCAGCAAAAAATGTTCAAGGAACTTATTTGAATGAGTTAACCAAGTGACTCAAGTCAAAGTACTCCTTCATGTTGTCAAATGAATTTCAGCTCAGGTAGCAACCAAATAGATATTCAGTAGTAATAAGTTTCAACAGCTAATAAACCAAGTATTGAATAACCAAAGGGAGGAAAAATCTATAGAAAAGCTAGACTTACCTGGCGAATGCGAAAAGGGTCATGAGTTTCAGACGCCATGAATTTGCTAGGGTTGAAGAGTATGTTTAAAACATTTCCAGATTTCATCGATTCGCCATGGACGAGACTGCTTTGTATCTACGGACGAAACTCGTTTCAATTCCTTCTTCAATTGGTTCAGATCAGATTTACACTCTTTTAGTTTAGAAAGATACAAAGCTTTAGCACTCGGCTGCAAACTTCTAGCCTATATTGAGTTTAAAAACTAGAACAGAACGGTATAAACATTAAGCAAGTTGACTGTAAATACCAAGACATCAGCTTCTTCTAATCATGACTTGATCTTAGTAATCTTCCACTTCTTCTCACTTGCAAAAGCTCATAACTATATCTAATCAAATCTCTACTCTGGTTCTATGGCACCACAAAATGTAACAACTTGGAGCATGTCTATGCACTATAACATCAAGAAAGACAGTTGTAAACATAGACTGAGAAACAAATGAAAAACCAACTTAATAAACCTCTGCAGCTATATAATTAAGTTCTCATCTTCGGTTGCCATCTAAAAGTTTGTGCGAATCCTAAAGAGAACCTTTAGTATGACCTTATATCCCTGGAAAGGCACAATCTTTAAAGTGAGAATAGAAAAGCCCATTGAAGCAACAAGGAAACGAGACAAAGAAAGAAATAAACTTACGGTATAAAAGGATATTTATTGGGCCAGTCTGCTATCCTCCAAGTCACAACATGAAGGATAATGTTAAAGCATGCGCACATCTTGATATAACTGATAAGAAAACGTTGGAAATATATTTTTCCTAAATTCTCACCTGAGATTTTCTTTAGGATCCATGTAGACAAATTGAAAATAAGAAGACAAAGTTATGATATGCAAGTTTATCAAAAACAAATATGACCCTAATAGCGATGCTTTGACTCTCATAATTGATGTCTTAATTTCAATTACCTTTGTTCAAGGAAAAGGAGACCAAGTGAGAATCCCTGACAGTCTCGGAGTAAACCTTCTTGCTGGTGAAGTTCTGTTTTCCCCCAATTGCAAACCAAAAGGATGAGCGCTCTATGTTCCCTCTTTTGGGTGCTTGACAGTAATCATGGGCTGACTTAGCAAGAAAAAAGATGATCACAGGCATCCTTTTCAGATTCTAAAATTACACGATCACAAATAGGTAGCCAAGTTTTGAACAGTCTAAATTAGAAAATGTACTTAGCAAGAGAGAAAAGTAGGGTAGAACAGTACCGCTTCAACTTGTAGTGCCTTACTATTGTGAACTCCAGTTCCAGATACTTTAATAAGTGCAACTGATTCCGTTTGATGAAGAACCTTTCTCTGTCATTCTATTTTGTAACCAGAACTCAAACCACCCTAAAAGTTAAAGTAACTATATCAATTACGAATAGATTTTCTTGCAGCAACAATCAAAAGAAATACCTTAAGGACAACCATATGTTGAAAAGTGCAACAAATTGTGGAGGTTCTTTATCCTCAAATATAGGAGCCTGCAAGAAGATCAAGTTATTCAACAATGTTTCAGTGCTAGTGGCTATTACTTACAATAACAAAACAAGGTACATGCACTCACATACCTTGAGAAATCAATCCTAGTACCCTCAAATATAGGAGCCTGCTAACAAAATCAATGACATCATCCTTAAGAAAGAAATAGCCAAACAACTCACATACCGGACTAAATATGGTTGTGAGAAAATGAGAAAATAAAAGCCAATTAAGAAGTATTGATCAATAAAGTATACTCAGATAAGGAAACATTACAAAAGGATATTAATTCGGGCAACTCCAAGACACATCATAAAGAAGTATTGATCAATCATGTATAAAGAAAACCTGTAAAAAGAAACAATAATGAACAATGGCAGAGACGTGATAAAGGTGAAAGGAACACAAACTAATTCAGTAAAAAGGATTCAAGGAACTTATTTGAATGTGTGAACCGACTGACTCATGACAAAATACTCCTTCTAGTTGTTAAATGAATTTCAGCTCATGTTGCAACCAAATAATATTCAGTACTAATAAGTGTCAACAGCTATTAAACCAAGTATTGAATAACCAAATGGAGGAAAACTCTACAGAAAAGCTACACTTACCTGGCGAATGAGAAAAGGGTCATTCAACAAATTGATGTTTCGAATAAGGAAAAAAAAAAAACAGAACAGCCAGGGATATGAAAGTACCATGTTATGATTTGAAAGAACTCTTGCCACTGGTTTAATCATATCAAATATTTGATAGAGGATATCTTCAAAGAGTAAAAAAAAACTGCATTCCGTTCAGAGTGATCTCCAGCCAGGTCTATATATGGACTTGAACCTGCAAACGTGGTTTAAATCAATATCAAGGGAAAAAAAAACACAAAGCTGCCAAGATCATGTGTTTAACATCCATGGGAGATAGATGAGCATACCAGTGAGGCATCATATCATATGATGAATGGAAACGAGCAACATATCACTATGTATTCTATGTTCATGAAATAATGGATAGTGAATTCAAAATCTCAGGTAGACATTATTGTTTCATCAAGACAAAATGTTTAGAGTGACATACTGTGAACTACAGATTTAGAGTGAGATATTGTGAACTAAGCAGCGAAAGGACAAAATGGCTAGAGAAGAAGGGAAGAGACGAGTACCAATACTCAAGACTAGGCTCAGATAGTCAGCTGACTTATCCTCCTCAGCTGCTACAAAAACAAGTTAGTCAGGTACATACTTGATACTACCTCAATAGTAAGATGATCCACTACTCATATTACATACCGGAGCTGCTCCAAAGCTATCATATGATCCTGGATCACATGAGCATACAAGAGAGAGTTCATGTAACAACTGAGGTTCCCAAAACTGAACGGAACACATGAACATACAAGAGAGAGTTCATGTAATAAGAGTATCCTCCAACAACAACAAGTCAACAGAGAACCTGAGGACCATCAAAATGAAAAACAGAGGAAATTTTCTTCGACTCCTCTTTCTCCCATAATGTTTGCAACTCCTAAAAAAAGTCAAAATTGAAATTTCGGTTAGTAACTGGAAAAGCCAAACATCAAATAACATTGAAATTAAGAAAAGGCAAGAGAACTAGAAACCCAAAATTAACAATGTAAACAATGTAGCGACAGAAGAACAAGGGACTTAATTCACCAACGGAAGATCTCAATAACGCATATAGAAGAAGCGAGTCTCAGTAACCCAATGAGCAACTAAACTATGTATCTCTGCACAAAAACGAGGAGGAATAACTTATGCTGAGAAGCAAATGAAGCATATTACTTGGCTAATCACAAAGGCAGTTTGTTTTTCCTTTGGGTCAACACATTGACCAACCCAGATAAATTTCAGCATGAGTAAATGCATTTCTTCCGTCAAGAGGTCAAATTTTTTGAATCTCTTCAACCTGTGCAAGGTCATGTTAAAACATGCACACATCTTGAAAACTGATAAGAAAACGTTGGATAATTTTTCTAAATTCTCACCTGAAATTTTCCTAAGAATCCATGTAGACACATTGAAAAGAAGAAGACAGTTAGAATATGCAAGTTTTTCAACAACAAATATGACCCTATTATATTATTTCCATGACAGAGAACCTCATTGAACATGAGATCCATAGCCTTCATGGAAGTTCACATGATATGTCAATATCTCCATATTTCTATTAGAAAGAATCTAGTAGAAACATAAAAAAATGAGCTTCTACTGTTTACCGGAGAGCTTGTTTTCCCGGAAGAAGAATTAAATGCAGAAGTCAAGGCAGCTAAAGCAGCAGCCCTTTGCCTTGGTCCTAGGTTACCACTGCTAGACTGATCCTGCAGTAGAAGGGTAAATTGTAAACACCTGATCATCCAATGAAATACAAAAATAAAGTAAAGTAGGTATACAAAGATAGGAAACGTTGAGATGTTCAATCAACGCTCAAGCAGCCAAATCAGACACCAAGCACTCCAAACCACTGCCTCGACAGAAGAAAGCCACATGTTGCAATTTAGGAGTACAAGTGTTTCTCATTAGAGAAGATCTACAACCTAAATCAAGTAAGTAATTTAGGTATTAAAAAAAAGAGACGAAACCTGAGGACCATTAAAAGAAAGAGACCAAAACGTGCTAGCTTTCTCGTACAGGGCTTTCCTTATCTCTGGATCTGTCACTATATCTGCTTCTCCGTGTAATACAAAGAAAGGTATTGTTATCTGCACAATCCGACCACATGTTGCCTTAGTCAAGTAATTTTGTCAGGAAACTCATATCATGGGATCAAAAATAATATATAAGTAATGAAACTCGTGGAGAGTATCTTCGAGGTTCTTGCTTGTCCTGAGCATCTCAAGTGCTGTTTAAGCCTAGCCTTGTCTTGATATATCAGCTTGTTGTCCCTTACCTGCATTTAAATACACAGACAAAACCTGAAGACCATGAAAAGAAAGAGATAAGGAAGTTGTCGCTCCAGTCGATCAATTAGGAACCAAAAATTATCATACAGGTCTAACCTCCAATATGAAATGATTCTGTGTTAAACCTCACACGAACTTGCAGAAAAAAAAACATTACCACAAAAATGGCGACTGCTAATCGTGTCCTGTAAATTTTTAACACAATATCATATTGGTGATAGCTTACATTATAAGAAAGAAAAAATACCATAAATCAGTTACCATATCATGGAGAACACTCTGGTCAGTATTTAGTCTGTCTACCATATCCATCTCCAGAATGTTTAAGCCCTTAGCTGAACCTATATTTCCAAAGAAACTGTCAAAAAAATAAAGAGCGGATAGACACAACCATCATCAAGCAAAAGATATAAATCAAAGGATATTTATTGGGCCAGCTTTGTATTAGAGCTGAAGCTTTATCCACATTTCTTCAAGCTGAAATTTTAAAAAGTTGGTTGTCACACCTGTCCGGCTATTTTTCCCAGTTGTACACAAGGTTGCACACCATTCACCTGAATTATTAAATAATCAACTTACAGATCATTATCTCATGATCGATAAAACAAAAGGTAAGCATCATCAAAAGACTGTTTATAGTTACATACAAGGTCAAGATCCCATAAATCTATCGAATAGTCCATTGATCCGAGCGCTACAAAGTTCCCTACCAACACCTAAAGCAAAACTTGAGAAAAATGATAATCTCATCCACAAGAAAAAAAGAAGTCGCTTGGATACACACTAACCTTTTTCCCCTTCTTTGAGAGGACAATCAAGCCATGTTGTGCACTATGGAACCTCGGATATAATCACGTCATGACGAAGATACATGTTCCCGGATTCCTCGTATACATAAAGAAGTATTGATCAATCACGTAAAGAAAACCAGTTAAGAAACAATAATGAACATCAGAGACGTAATAAAGGTGAAAGGAACACAAACTAATTCAGCAAAAAATGTTCAAGGAACTTATTTGAATGAGTTAACCAAGTGACTCAAGTCAAAGTACTCCTTCATGTTGTCAAATGAATTTCAGCTCAGGTAGCAACCAAATAGATATTCAGTAGTAATAAGTTTCAACAGCTAATAAACCAAGTATTGAATAACCAAAGGGAGGAAAAATCTATAGAAAAGCTAGACTTACCTGGCGAATGCGAAAAGGGTCATGAGTTTCAGACGCCATGAATTTGCTAGGGTTGAAGAGTATGTTTAAAACATTTCCAGATTTCATCGATTCGCCATGGACGAGACTGCTTAGTATCTACGGACGAAACTCGTTTCAATTCCTTCTTCAATAGGTTCAGATCAGATTTACACTCTTTTAGTTTAGAAAGATACAAAGCTTTAGCACTCGGCTGCAAACTTCTAGCCTCAAGATCCACTTTTCAAATTTACAAAACAAAACACAGAAGCATATATATTGAGTTTAAAAACTAGAACAGAACGGTATAAACATTAAGCAAGTTGATTGTAAATACCAAGACATCAGCTTCTTCTAATCATGACTTGATCTCAGTAATCTTCCACTTCTTCTCCCCTGCAAAAGCACATAACTATATCTAATCAAACCTCTACTCTGGTTCTATGGCACCAAAAAAGGTAAAAACTTCGAGCAAGTCTATGCACTATAACCCCAAGAAAGACAGTGGGAAACATAGACTGAGAAACAAATGAAAACCAACTTAAGAGAAAATTGAAGTTACGCAATGCTTCTCCTCACAATGCTTCTCTCTTAAGAGAAAATTGAAGTTACGCAAAGATAAAATGAGCAACTTATCTTTTAAATGTCACGATGCAATCATGTAAATACCAACAAAAGAGCTTCACGTGCTGCTTAAGAAAAAGTGAAATGAATAAAAAACCCTCTTGACTCCTCTACGATCTAAAACAAACAGAAAATACTCTCAGTAATATAAGAAATATATTCTGATACAAAACAACACACACACTTGAATAAAAAACAATCAATTGAAGAGGCAAGTGGCATCCAATTAAAAAATGAGAGTGTATAATAACAAAAAATGAGTAATCAACATAAACAGGGCAGAAGTTGCCCCAGACACATCTAAGCAATCAGTTTTAGGATTTACTTAGCATTATTATTGCAGAAGCAGCAGAAGATGCATCATCTTTAGTATGACCTTATATCCCTGGAAAGGCACAATCTTTAAAGTGAGAATAGAAAAACCCATTGAAGCAACAAGGAAACGAGACAAAGAAAGAAATAAACTTACGGTATAAAAGGATATTTATTGGGCCAGCCTGCTATCCTCCAAGTCACAACATGAAGGATAATGTTAAAGCATGCATACATCTTGATAACTGATAACAAAACGTTGGAAATATATTTTTCCTAATTTCTCACCTGAGATTTTCTTTAGGATCCTTGTAGACAAACTGAAAAGAAGAAGACAAAGTTATAATATGCAAGTTTATCAAAAACAAATATGACCCTAATAGCGATGCTTTGACTCTCATAATTGATGTCCTAATTTCAATTACCTCTGTTGAAGGAAAAGGAGACCAAGTGAGAATCCTTGACAGTCTCGGAGGAAACCTTCTTGCTGGTGAAGTTCTGTTTTCCCCCAATTGCAAACCAAAAGGATGAGCGCTCTATGTTCCTTCTTTTGGGTGCTTGACAGTAATCATGGGCTGACTTAGCAAGAAAAAAGATGATCACAGGCATCCTTTTCAGATTCTAACATTACACGATCACAAATAGGTAGCCAAGTTTTGAACAGTCTAAATTAGAAAATGTACTTAGCAAGAGAGAAAAGTAGGGTAGAACAGTACCGCTTCAACTTGTAGTGAACTCCAATTCCAGATACTTGAATAAGTGCAACTAATTCCGTCTGATGAACTCTGTCATTCTATTTTTGTAACCAGAACTCAAACCACCCTAAAAGTTAATGTAACTATATCAATTACGAATAGATTTTCTTGCAGCAACAATCAAAAGAAATACCTTAAGGACAACCATATGTTGAAAAGTGCAACAAATTGTGGAGGTTCTTTACCCTCAAATATAGGAGCCTGCAAGAAGATCAAGTTATTCAACAATGTTTCAGTGCTAGTGGCTATTACTTACAATAACAAAACAAGGTACATGCATTCACATACCTTGAGAAATCAATGCTAGTACCCTCAAATATAGGAGCCTGCTAACAAAATCAATGACATCATCCTTAAGAAAGAAGTAGCCAAACCACTCACATACCGGACTAAAAATGGTTGTGAGAAAATGAGAAAATAAAAGCCAATTAAGAAGTATTGATCAATAAGGTATACTCAGATAAGGAAACATTACAAAAGGATATTAATTCGGGCAACTCCAAGACACAGCATAAAGAAGTATTGATCAATCAGGTATAAAGAAAGCCTGTAAAAAAGAAACAATAATGAACAATAGCAGAGATGTGATAAAGGTGAAAGGAACACAAACTAATTCAGTAAAAAGGATTCAAGGAACTTATTTGAATGCGTGAACCAACTGACTCATGAAAAAATACTCCTTCTTGTTGTCAAATGAATTTCAGCTCAAGTAGCAACCAAATAAATATTCAGTAGTAATAAGTGTCAACAGCTATTAAACCAAGTATTGAATAACCAAAGGGAGGAAAACTCTACAGAAAAGCTAGACTTACTTGGCGAATGAGAAAAGGGTCATGAGTTTGAGACGCCATGAATTTGTCATGTACTGCGAACCCTCAGCTTGGGTATTGATGTTCCATCATAACCTGGACAAAGACGTATTAATAGTTGGCAGTGAAAGAGTATCCACACTTAATGTAAAACCAAAAAGTGAATATAACATCCTTATGTTGATAGTGTCTCTACATATAACATCCTTATGATTGTCTTGAGTATCCTTTCAGCTTATCCTGCATCACACAAATCATGAGAAATATGAGATTCTGTAAAGCTAGAATTTACATGTTATCATCAAAATCATACCAACTAAAGGTATATAGACGAAAGAGCTTCAAGATTATGCTGCAACAGTTGTTCTCCCTTATAATGTTTCTCCATTGACCAATGAAAATAGTGTCTCACTGGTGTTCATTCTCCATCTCGCTTCTTCCTCTTCAAGAATTGTGGCCAGCTTGTTCCTACTAAGACAACAATCCAGAAAGGAAACCTGATTAGGTAGACACTACAGCACAACTTGCCAAAGAGACCGTCTGCTTTTCTTTCGGATTTAAGAAGCATCACCATAACTATATCCAAGAATCTTCTTAGAAGCCCCTAATAAGAAACAAAAACAGATATATAATTAGCGTCCATAAACAAGCACGGATACGAATTTAATCAAGACGATGGATACATGAAACTTTCCAGAATCAGAGAAACAAAAGCTTCCACTATCAGGGTTTTACTTCAAATCCTTGATTTTTGAATCAATCGCATCTTCAATTGACCTAAAACTCAATTCTCAGTTATACAAATTCCAAAGACTCTCTAAAAAATTAATCAAATCTCAATAACCTCCGAATATGTAGAGAAGAATCACGAGTATTGTTACCGTTGAATTCTTTGAAATTCGGCTCCTCCACCAATCTAGCATCTCCGGCAAACACGGTCGAGACTTTCTCATTCTTCATCTTCTTCTTCCTCAGGATATCATCCTTTCTCCTTCAGAAAATCGTCTGTTTTCTCCAACATCGCCTCCTACTCCACTAGATCTTTCTCCAACGACTTCGTTTCTTTCCCCTTCGCTGAGATCGGCGACAACGGTGGCTCCACGATCTAACTTTTCGACTGCTTCTCAATTTCTTCGTCGGAGATGGAGATGTTAGAATTTGGTAGAGCCTTTGAGAGCCCAACGGTCAAATTTTGAAATCGAAACTGAAGTTTTTGTGAATTACTCTTGGTGTCCAAGGCTTACGCGAGTTATATTACGATTGTGTTTTGATTTGACCGTTGAAGAGTGTTTCTTCAATTAAACCATTTACCAAACCAATTTCTAAACTGATTCTTTTGGTTCAAAGTTAACCGAGTCCATCAAAACTAAAACCGTTTAGTATAAAATTGGTTTGGTTTAATTGAAGGACAAATGTCATTTTATTATTCGATAATTTAACCAATTAAACGTCTTGATCTATCGTCAAGTTTATAACTACAATTCGTCAACTACAATTTCTGTCGCCAATGGTGTTCTTCTCTAAGAGGAATCACTAGAAAAAAAATCAGACTGACCATTTTCCAAAAAAAAATATCTAATTTACCGGTGTAATCAACCGGAAATTCTCAATTTTTGAGAAGAAAGTAGATTTTTGTAACTTAGTTTGGAGCTGCTTCAAGTGACGTTCTCCAGTAGTATTGGAGTTTCATGTGGGTTTGATCACTTTCCCACTTTTGGTTTAACCCTATTCATGAACATGTAAGTTCATAGTTTATCTATTAACCAAGTAAGTACAGTTTAACAATAATCTAGTGCAAATGAGAATTGCTTCGCTTGTGGATTTAATTGGTAATTTTCTATTGCGTAGGTTTTACTTTGATTTGAGTCCTATTTTTATTGGATGTGGTATGATATGTCTCCATTTGGTGAAATACTGTTCGGTTCTTCCCTGTGCTATCATTTCTTGGGGTATTCTAAGGCCATTTATATCACAGAATGCGGATGACTGGTATCCATATGACCTTGAGGCCAACGATTTCAAAGGTTTTTATTGGTATAAGGTACAATAAAGAGATCAAATATGAAGAATTTAAAGAAAGTAGATTAGTTTCATAAGTACTCTCATTGCGGTGGTTATTGAGTTTTTCATATAATTACTCTACTTATAGGTCTTCATTAGCATTGCTACTTATGTCTTCAACGTCAATCTACTAATTATTATTATACTAAATTCTAATCTATCAAATAAATACAAAAATGATGAGAGAAAATATATAATTCTATCTCCAAATATATAATTGAATTGTTTTTTGTCAACCCCAAATATCTACTTGATTAAAATTCTAAAATCTATTAAACTCTTTTATATAAAAGGAAAGTCAATTTTTGTAAATTCAATCAAATATTTACTAAATACTATTAGAACATATTAAAAAAATATTATATAATTTTTTTAACTCCAAGTTTCAGCTTATCAAGTCTATTAGTACACCAAGGAATATACAATTGGCTATACCATGAATTATTTGGGGAATTTGGAAACATAGGAATGAGCTTGTATATGAGAATGTTCAAGGTGATCTCAATGTCCTAATTGATAAAGCTATGGAGGAGTCAGCTCTATGGGATTCTCAATCTCAGCTCACAAAATCATCTTCAACAGATTACCAAATTACTTCTTTATTAGCTAAGAAGTAGTCAATATAAATGAATGGCCTCGTTATTGGACGTATTTGGACAAGATTCAACGTTTGATTCCTAAGTTTCATGGAATTACTTTTCAAATTGACTACTCCTCAAGCCAACGTTTGATTTGGGCTTTTGGGCTTTTTGTTACATATTGGATTATATATGACCCGACCCGAACCCATAACAATTCTTTGACCAAAACCAAAAGACTTGAGTGAATAGAAGAAAAACAAGATCGGGTCTCGTCACGGTCCACGCCGCAGCTTTTTCTTCGTCTTCTTCCATTATTCTATTTCTCTGAGAGATTCTCTCTGAGTTTCTGAGATCGAGCGAGATCATGGAAGGTGGAGCTGCTCTTTACAATCCTCGAACTGTTGAAGAAGTTTTCAAGGATTTCAAAGGTCGTCGTGCTGCCATTGTCAAAGCTCTCACCACCGGTAAATCTCACTATTTCTCAGATCTTTCGGAAGAATTCTTGCTTCTATTGATGTTTTCTTCTCCGATCTATGTTCAATTTCTGATTGATTTGGGTTTTTCTCTTTTCTTGCAGATGTTCAAGAGTTTTACCAACAATGTGACCCTGGTTAGGGTTTCTCTCTTTTGTTCCCAATTTTGAGTTTTTTCTTCCTCTGGTCTCTTGGGCTTTCTGTCTATAGATCACTAAAAGCACAAATCTGATTTAGACTTATTAGTCTCTTGTGTGGTTATTGTATTGTACACTCTGATTTAGACTTAGCATCTTTGTGTGGTTATTTGATTCAAGTTTGGGTTTGTATTGTTACAATCTCTGATTTAGACTTAGTATCTTTGTGTGGGGATTTGATTCAAGTTGTGTTTTGTATTGTATAATCTGGGTTTTCAGAAAAGGAGAATCTTTGTTTGTATGGGTTACCGAATGAAGAATGGGAAGTGAATTTACCAGCTGAAGAAGTGCCTCCTGAGCTACCAGAGCCAGCTCTTGGTATTAACTTTGCTAGAGATGGGCTCTCTGAAAAAGAATGGCTTTCTCTTGTTGCTATTCACAGTGATGCTTGGTTACTTTCTGTCTCGTTTTACTTTGGCTCAAGGTTTTCTTTCCACAAGGAAGAAAGGTAATGGATGGTTTCATGGTTTCTCTTTCGAACTCCCACTCTTTACATGTATATATATATATATATATGCTAACTTGTCTAATTTCAGGAAGCGCTTGTTCAACATGATCAATGATGTTCCTACTATATTTGAAGTAGTGACTGGAATGGCCAAAGCAAAGGACAAGTCATCTGCTGCCAATCAAAACGGAAACAAATCCAAGTCGAACTCAAAAGTTGTAAGACCCTTGCTATCCTTTTCAACTCTTTGTTTTTGTACTTTTCGGAAACTTTTATCGCTAAAATAGATATCCATACAACAAAGGAATGATATATGCTTAATCCTGTACTAGCTGAGGGAAACAAGATTAATTCATAATCTTCAATACCAGACTATTGTACAATCCTTCACTGAAAATACTGCTTTGGTTGGATTTGTTTTGAGTTTCTCCGTAGTTTTTTTTTCCATGTAGTTTAATACTTCCTTTACTTTGCTTTGGAATGCAGAGAACTTCAGAGGGCAAAAGCTCAAAGACCATGCCTCCAAAAGAGGAGGACGAAGGAATAGATGAAGATGATGAGGATGACCACGGCGAAACCCTTTGTGGAGCCTGTGGAGACAGTGATGGTGCTGACGAATTCTGGATCTGCTGTGACCTTTGTGAGAAGTGGTTCCATGGCAAGTGTGTGAAGATCACTCCAGCTAGAGCTGAGCATATCAAACAATACAAGTGCCCTTCATGCAGCAACAAAAGAGCCCGAGCTTAAATGTTCTATTGTAGTGAATAGCCTGTAGTGACAACTCTCACTACCCTCTGTCTTTATTTGGCTAGTCTTAGCGCTTTATTGGCCATAACAGCTTGGGCCTATTTCTCTGTATAATTGGTTTGATTTTGCAACTGAGAGAAAAAAAGGAAACTCTTAACTGAATTTGTGACCTTTAAACCAATAGGACACGCCAATTCTTAAAAACAATATCCGGATACATCAACATACTCTAGAAAGCCTATGTTTCGAAATCATCAATGGCCATATCTGCAACACTTTTGTTATGATTCTTGTAGCAACTAAGGACTTGAGGTAACTTGTGATACATCTCTAGCAATAGTCCCTTTTGGGAGAGTCGAACTCAGGAGACCGAAGACCACATCAACAAAATCTTGACGAGCCTCAGCCAATACAAACTACAAAGCAAGAACAAGAAGGCTGATACAATTTGGTAAACATCATTCAAAGATGATTAATGTCTTACTCTAAAAACTAATACCAGATCACAAAAGTCGCTTGGATATTAAATATAAAAAGAATTTTTCCCCTCTGCCTCATTTCATAGTAAATCCAAAATAAAACTTAAACATTGACACATAAGGAAACAAACTGAAAACAATAACAACTTGAAGTCTTGAAGCAAACAAATTTTGAAAGGAAAGCCAACACATGAGAGCACACAATAGAAAGAAAAAGAGATGAGCCAGTGCATCAATAACGAACACGGATCACTATGTCCAGGATCTCACGACTTGACTCTGCTTCACCTCGTAGGCGCAGTAATCAAGGAAAAGCTCTGTCCCTAGGAAGTAGTAGCCAAAGTGGGTCTCCTTGAGTGCCCTGAGCGAGGAGAACGTCTTTAGGTTCTTCACACCTTGAAACTGGTCACCTTTCTCCACCATGGCCATGTAAAACCCGAAACACAAAGCTACATGGCATGCATTTCGCATACAACACTCTTTGATCGAGGCCACCACCTTCTCCCTAGTATCTAAGCTCCTAAGATGAGTAGGAGCGTTGTTGACAGTGACTATCTCCGTTGGCATCCAAACTGAGAAGTTCTCCAGATAGGCCATCATCTCAGAAAGAATTTCCCAATTGCACCCACCTCCTTCACTCTTAAAGATTTGAGACACAGTTTCCAAAAGGGTTATGTAGCTTTTGGCCTTCCTAACTTCTTACACCACCAGGACCTTAGAGCGGTCAGGTCCTCCTTACACCACCAGGATAATTGATCACAACCTGCCCATACTAGTTCCTCCACGGCGGTGAATGCCTCCTCGGACTGGTAATTGTAGTGGTAAAGGGCCGTGAGCAGAGAGTAGCCCTGTAGGGGAATCATTCCAGTGGCAAGGAGGTGAAGCTTGGGAATCACCTTCTTTTCAGTTTCAGACAGGTTCAAAGGTTTGGACAGTTCTTCCTTCCACTTCGACTCCACGTCGTCCTTGATCACTATAGCGTCCCCATCATCTCCCACAGCCAGTTTTTCGGTGTCCATCTCTTCGGCTGTGAGGTTTCTGGGGAGTATGCGATACATTTCAGTGGACACCGCCCTGGCCACCCCAATGACAATACCCTTCTTACGCCTCAAGGTAGGGCTGATACCGGTTTCAGGATGGATGGTCATCCTTGCAATCTCCTGCCTTATGAAGTGATCCGTCTTCCTAATTGCTCCCTCAGGGTTAAGACCTTCTATTGGAGACCAGTGCCAGGTCCTACTTAAGGTTGGCTCACTCATGTTCTCACTCATAATGTTTATGCCAGTAAAGAAAGAGATGGGAAAAATTTCTTGATAAGGGATGTTAACGGTGGTTTCTGTCTCCTTTGATTCTGTGGTCTCCATGATACTTTTTCCAGTGTCAGAGAACATGCTTAGCATCAAAACTCAATACAAAACGTAATGCAGAAAACAATAACTATTCTAGGTAGATTTTGTTTATTTATAAAGGTGTATAAACATGCACTGGTTATAGGGGAGTCCTAGACTGAAATTAATGGAAGTAATTGGGCTGTTTCATCTTAATCGATGCACTTTGAAGGGATTATTTGACTTAAAGACAACATATTTAGACCTTGAGACATGTATTCAAACTCATGTGGTCTTGCCTCTTGGGGAAGTGCAAAGGTTTTTGGGTTTAGGTAATAGGAATCATTATGGTCATTGAATGTCATATAGAACTTTGATTCTTAGCACATTCTAAGCGGTTAATTTTCATCCTTATTTGTTTTTCCCTGTTTTTTAAGGGCTCAAAGTTCAGAGAAACCCAAGTTTAAGAAGCCATAGATTATGGGGCAATATAGCTCGGAAATCACTTAACATGGTAACTAACAAGTTGTTTTTCTCATTTTTACGCTTCACCAAATAAAAAAATCATAAATCACTAAAACAAGAAACCTTACTATTTGATTTTAGAAGAAAATCATAAATAACTTATGGATGATGATGATCACATGACTTGTATAATGAACTTGGATGAGGCTGTGGGAAGCTTCAACAAATCCTCTGTGAGTTGCACCTTTTTGGTGTCATCCATTGTAGGTGCAACGTAAACTTTTACCACTTCAAGACACTCCATTTTCAGTAAGAAATGGCTAATGTGTTCAAGCTCGGTTTCACTTCCTCTGTACCGCATGACACATAACATCTTTACTTGGTTATTTGGGGGAATTCGAATCCCCACAAACGGATGTTCTCTAAATGTGTAACAATCTAAATTCTGAAGCATTAAGAAGATTAAGACTATTTTTATATTCATGCATACATATAAAGTAAAGTTTCTGTTCAATGTTTGCTTCATACCGAAAGAACCAGAGTTTTAAGGTTTGGAGAACGCTTTAGCAGAAGTGGCAGAAGTTCTTTCCATCCTCGCTTTTTACTTGAAAACTTTATATAAACGAGGTTGTTGAACACCGGTAATCCACCTTTGCAGCGTACCGAAATCACCTGAAACACACACACACACAAAAAAATGTTTTCCGTTTTCAAACCAACAGATGATGAGACCATACACTAAAACTGACCTTGACAGCAGAAGAAGTCAAGTGAAGGGTCTTGACATTGCTTATCCCACTGAGAAGATTCATCACATCCGCGTCCTCATCATGATCTAAGATTTGAAGGTCTAGTGTAGCTTTGACAAGTGAACCCAGATTACAATGAAGAGACTCATGCCTAGCATAACTAGAGTAGTAGAGGTCGACAACATTCGGTGTGTCAAGTGAAATAATGTCATAATAACCACGGTCATAGGTAAATGAGAGTCTCTTAATGGTTTTGCTGGATATAATGGCTGGCTTTCCTCTTGAATGAGACTTGATATGTATGTCAAGGTCCTCAAGTACAGGGCAAGCAGGGAGAAACACATTAGCAAATTGATGAAAGTCAAACCAAATTGAATCAAGGAAGAGAACCTTTAGTGCTGGAAGATATGTATCCGAAGGAACACTCTGGAAGCAAAAACGTGTTCCCTGTAAGGAGTAATATAAATGAGGGATCTAAGTGTAATTATTTAAGAGTTAAAACCTATTGTACAGACTATATATATGTTGGTAATCATTCTCTAATAAAAAAAGCTTCTCTGAAATATATGGGTATCAGAGCAGTAATATCCTAAAGACCTAAATTTTTTCACGAGCTGTCTTCTTCTTCTTCTTCTTCTTCTTTCTTCTTCTCTTTTCTTTTCTTTTCTTTTTCTTTCTTCTTCGTCCTATTCTTCTTCTTCTTTCTTTCTTCTTTCTTTTCTTCTTCTTTTCTTCTTTTCTTCTTCGTCTTCTTCTTCTTCTTTTCTTCTATTCTTCTTTTCTTCTTACTTCTTCTTCTTTTCTTCTTCTTCTTCTTCTTCTTCTCTTCTTCTTCTTCTTCTCTTCTTCTTCTTCTTCTTCTTCTTTCTTCTTCTCTCTTCTTCTTCTTCTTCTTCTTCTTCTTCTTCTTCTTCTTCTTCTTTTTCTTCTTCTTCTTCTTCTTCTTCTTCTTCTTTTCTTCTTCTTTCTCTCTTCTTCTTCTTCTTCTTCTTCTCTTCTTTCTTCTTCTTCTTCTTCTTCTTCTTCTTCTTCTTCTTCTTCTTCTTCTTCTTCTTCTTCTTCTTCTTCTTCTTCTTCTTCTTCTTCTTCTTCTTCTTCTTCTTCTTCTTCTTCTTCTTCTTCTTCTTCTTCTTCTACATGGCCTTGCCTAACTCATCTGTCATCGTTGCTACCACCGATGGAACCTCACTCCACAACATCAACATGACAAACGTGAAACAGCTCACTGCGACGAACTTCTTGATGTGGAAACGTCAGGTTCACGCCTTGCTCGACGGCTACGACTTAGCCGGCTATCTTGACGGCTCTATTGCCGCACCCACAGCCACCATCACTACCGCCGGTATTGTCTCTGCAAATCCGGCATACAAAATCTGGAAAAGAAAAGATAAACTGATCTACTCCGGTCTCCTTGGTGCCATCTCCATCTCCGTTCAGTCTCTCTTGTCAAAGGCAACGACCACCGCTGATATTTGGACCATTCTCAATGATACCTACGCCAATCCAAGCAGAGGACATATCAAAGTGTTACGTGAACAACTAAAACACTGGAAAAAGGGCACACGATCGATTGAAGAGTACTTTCAAGGCTTCACAACTCGGTTTGATCAATTAGCCGAGCTTGAGAGTGATATTCCTCATGAAGATCAGATCGATTACATCATTGCTGGACTTCCTGAAGATTACAAACCAGTTATCGATCAAATTGAAGGACGTGAGACTCCACCATCATTGACGGTGATTCACGAGAAACTCATCAACCAAGAGCTGAAACTTCAAACGCTGGCCATCGCTACCTCCTCCAATCCGGTCACTGCCAATGCTGCTACATACAAGAACCATGGAAATAACAATCGCAATCAGTCTCGTTCTGGTTCCCGTGGCAACCAACCGTGGCAGAATCAACAACAAAATTTCAACCCAAAGTTTGAGTCACGTGGTTCGCAGGGACGGGGTTATCAAGGCAAGTGTCAAATCTGTGGGGTTTTTGGTCACAGTGCTCGGCGGTGCTCACAACTCCAGTCCTCCGGTGGCGGATACCAATCCTCGCCAGTGACACCTTGGCAGCCGCGGGCTAACGTTGCCATGACATCGTCTTATAATCCGTGGGTTTTGGATTCTGGTGCCACACACCACTTAACGTCCGACTTGGCTAACCTCTCGATGCATCAGCCATACACCGGAGGGGAGGAGGTTACAATAGCAGATGGCTCGGGTCTCCCGATCTCTCAAACTGGTTCAGCGTTGCTACCGACTCCAACTAGTTCTCTTGCTCTTAATGATGTTTTATATGTGCCAAATGTTCACAAAAATCTCATTTCGGTTTATCGGATGTGTAATTCTAACAAGGTTTCGGTGGAATTCTTTCCTGCTCATTTTCAGGTGAAGGATCTCAGCACGGGGGCCCGATTACTCCAAGGCAGAACTAGGAATGAGCTATATGAGTGGCCGGTAAACCTTCCTCCTATCACAAGTTTTTCAGCTTCACCAACACCAAAAACCGACCTCTCATCCTGGCATAACCGTCTTGGACACCCTGCTTTACCCATTCTAAAAGCTGTTGTTTCCCAGTTTTCTTTACCTGCTTCAAATTCTTTGCAAAAAACAGTTTTCTTGTACCGACTGTTTAATCAATAAAAGTCATAAGTTGCCATTTCACACAAACACCATTGCCTTAACCCAACCTCTCGAATACCTTTATTCTGATGTTTGGACATCACCACTTATTTCTGTTGACAATTTCAAATATTATCTTGTCATTGTTGATCACTATACCCGATATACATGGTTCTATCCCTTGAAGCAAAAATCCCAGGTTAAAGACGTGTTCATGGCCTTCAAACCATTGGTGGAAAATCGTTTTCAAACCCGCATCCGCACTCTATACTCAGACAACGGTGGTGAGTTCATTGCGTTACGACAGTTTCTCGCTACCAATGGCATTGCGCATTTTACGACACCGCCCCATACGCCCGAACATAATGGCATCTCTGAGAGAAAACATAGACACATTGTTGAGACGGGTCTCACGTTGCTCGGACATGCCTCGGTTCCGAAAAACTATTGGCCCTATGCGTTTGCTGCGGCGGTCTATTTGATAAATCGTATGCCAAACGATGTGTTGAATGGTGTTTCTCCTTACGCGAAGCTCTTTCAACAGCCTCCAAATTATCTCAAGCTACGCGTCTTTGGTTGTTTGTGCTTTCCCTGGCTCCGTCCATACAATACAAATAAGCTGGAGAATCGGTCCAAGCCGTGCGTCTTTCTCGGGTATTCTCTAACACAAAGTGCATATTTTTGTCTTGATGTGGAGAATAATCGGATGTATACATCGAGACATCTACAATTCGTGGAGACAAGCTTCCCTTTCCAAACGACGGCTGCACAGAATTCAGTCTCATCTCCAACACCGGTTTCACCATCTCACCACAACCTCATTCCGGTTTTACCACACTCATCGACTATAGCTCATTCCTCGTCGCCTCCGTGCTCTGTTCTTCACCCTCCGCCATCACCAGCTCCGTCTTGCAATCAGTCGCCGGCCCCGCCGTCACCGGCTCCGCAGTCACCAGCTCCGGTTCATTCAACCAATGCTTCTCCGTCGTCGGAACACCAAGCCTCGTCTTTTTCATCACAACACGATGGTGAAGAGAATGCCAAATCCAACAATGGATCACAAACACCTTTGGCCCAATCCCCATCCAATCCAAGCCCATTAGCCACTCACTCAAATACACCAAGCCCATTACCATTAAGCCCAATACACTCATCTTCTTCCACGACACCTGCAAACTCCCAAAATTCACCACCTACGGCTAATGCCTCTCCTTCTCCACAACCACCTGATCCAAATCCACCACCACAAAATATCCATCCAATGCGAACCCGAGCCAAAAACCAAATACACAAACCCAAAAATAAACTCAACCTCTCCGTCACAACCTCACCAATTCCAAAAATTCCGACGACGGTGGCACAAGCACTCAAAGATCCTAATTGGCGCCATGCCATGTCTGAAGAAATTGATGCTCAAATGCGGAACCACACATGGGACTTAGTTCCACCATCACCGACTCAAAATGTCATTACATGTAAGTGGATTTTTACGCTAAAATTTCGTGCTGATGGTTCAATTGAAAGGTACAAAGCACGGCTGGTGGCTCGCGGATTTAATCAACAATATGGACTCGACTACTCCGAAACATTTAGTCCTTTTATCAAGTCTACGACAATTCGGATGGTTTTGGAGGTGGCAGTGAAACGAAATTGGAGAATTCACCAAGTGGACATTAATAATGCGTTTCTTCAAGGGAAATTAACGGATGAATTTTACGTCACACAGCCACCCGGTTTTATTGATCGAGATCGCCCAGATCATGTTTGTCGGTTGTAAAAAGCTCTTTATGGTCTAAAACAAGCCCCGCGTGCATGGTATCAAGAACTCCGCAATTTTCTATTACAAGCTGGTTTTACGAATTCTCTTGCGGATACGTCCTTGTTCATTTACCATCGGGGTGCTGCATTTCTCTATGTACTGGTATACGTGGACGATATAATTATTGCGGGTGAAGACTCTCTGGTTCAACGGTTCAATTTGTCTCTTGCAGCTCGGTTTTCATTAAAGGATCTTGGTGCATTGAATTATTTTTTGGGAATTGAGGCTACCAGATCAGCTCATGGTCTACACTTGATGCAACGGAGATATATTATTGATCTCCTCACGAAGACAAAGATGCTCGATGCTAAGCCAGTTTCTACGTTGGTCAGCAACGCCGATGATCTCACTCTTCTCTGGCTCTGCTCTTGATGATGCGTCTGAATATCGATCTGTCCTTGGTAGTCTCCAATATTTGTCTTTCACCAGGCCTGACATAGCTTTTGCAGTCAACCGTCTCTCGCAGTTTATGCACAGACCCACTGATGCACATTGGCTAGCGGCGAAGCGAATATTACGTTACCTTGCGGGAACTACGAACCATGGGATTTTTCTTCGCGCCAACACTCCTCTAACGGTCCACGCCTTTTCAGATGCTGATTGGGCACGGGATAACGATGATTACCTCTCCACAAACGCTTATATTGTTTACTTAGGAGGCAGCCCCATTTCTTGGTCTTCAAAGAAACAGAGGAGTGTTGCTCGATCTTCAACGGAGGCTGAATATAGGGCTGTCGCAAACACGGCCGCTGAACTACGGTGGATATGCTCGTTACTAACTGAGATGGGCATCACATTACCAACAGCACCGGTGATTTACTGCGATAATATGGGAGCCACATATCTATGTGCGAACCCGGTCTTTCATTCAAGAATGAAACATGTCGCTCTTGATTATCACTTTGTTCGTGGGAGTATTCAATCTGGTGCACTACGGGTCTCACATGTATCAACCCAGGATCAATTGGCGGATGCACTCACAAAGCCCTTACCTAGATCGCGGTTTCAAGAGCTCAATGCCAAAATTGGAGTCAAGGAATTGCCTCCATCTTGAGGGGGGATGTAAGGAGTAATATAGATGAGGGATCTAAGTGTAATTATTTAAGAGTTAAAACCTATTGTACAGACTATATATATGTTGTAATCATTCTCTAATCAATAATAAGCTCTCTTGAATAATATTCCCAATGACAGCTTAACGAGTGTTGTGCTGGTGAAGACTTTGGATGGGATAGCAAACAGCCACATAGATTCTATGGCTAGATGAAGCTCAAAGACACCATGTTTCAGAGAACTACATATCCAGTGGTTCAAGTCATGTTTATTATCTCCACATCTTACACTAAGCTTAAGTGAGAACTTCTTTATATGGTTACAGCCTTTCAAAGCCAATGTTCTATCCATGAAAGCCATGAAACTCTTCCGTTTGCTGTGCAAAAAGATGAAGTTGTCAACCTCAAGAATATGAGTTAAAGTAAACAGAGTCCTCCACCTCTTGGAGAGAAGAGAGGTTGACACGGCTTTTTTCGTGGGAAGAAATGACAATATTTGGACAAGAAGATCATCTGGAAGACAATCCATTGAAGCCATAGACACAGACCACATCCTTAGTGTACCTGAAACATGAAAAAGAAAAGAGAAGAGTTTAAGACTGTATACAAGCTAAAAGCGTTAAGGTTCTTGTCCAAATCTTTAAGGTTCAAGTTAAACCCAAGAAAAGCCTAAAGTTCACATCATTCTCTCAAGGAGATAGAAAAATCATTCATAGAAAAATAATATGAAATAATTTTTAAGAAAACGCAGATCGGAAATATTTTCTCCTTACAAAACCCTTCTCCTGCTCGTTCTAATGTGATAGTTACAAAAAAGATCAAATAAGATTTACAAAATTTTGTTTACCATTTATTTTCCCAATTCTTAATGATAAACTTCAATTACGTTCTCTTTGTCATTTTTAATTAAATCTTATTATATAAAGTATGGTTTTCAAAGTCAATAACTCATAAGATCGTGCCACATGTCAAATTTATCGATTAGATTTTGACACGTGTTAAACAAAAAATTTCTTTTATTACAAATATTTCCTTTTATTAGGAAACAAAAATTTCTTTTATTACAAATATTTCTTTTTATTAGGAAACTAGATATATCTTATGAAATAAAAAGAGAAATTTTTTTAAAAATATATAAGGTAACTATACATATATATCTTATAAAAACCAACTTTTAAAAAGTATAGAAAATAACTATAAGGAAACTATATGTATTTTATTAAACAAAAATAGAAAAAAAAATTATTTACTAATTCTAATTTAAAGCTATTAACTCTATAGAAAAAGATTACTTTTTCCTTATAATTAAAAAAGATTTATGAAATTATACAATCTTATTTTATAATATGATAATTAAACAAATTTTATAATCAATTATTAATCCTAGAAGAGAAAGGATTCTAAATACTCACCTTTATAGATAAACAAATAGATAGATAAACAAATTAAGAATATATGGCGATGGAGGAAATTAAAAATTATGAACGGCGATGGACATAAAATAGAGTTGTTGTCGAAGAAGCTCGACCCGATGTCGGAGAAGATAAAGAAGGTGGATAAATAATAGCAGTTGGGGAAAGAGGAAAAGATGCGGTAACGGTGGTGTTGGTGTTGATGACGGTGGTTCAAGCTTGGTGGTGGTAAATATTGATAAAGGTGGTGGGTCAGAATTAGCGAGATTTAGTATTGATGGTGATGATGATTGTGATAGTTGTGAGATTCAGTTGTGGTGGTGGCCTGGTGGGTCGGAGTAGTGAGATCCGGTGGTGATGTCCGATGAAAGAGAGAAATAATGATATGAAAAAAAAATATAGTGGTGTAAAAATCCAACGAGAGGGAGAGAAAGAAAAAGAAAGAGGAGATCAAACAAAAATAAGAGAAATCTAATGAGAGAAAAAGCGAGATTTGAGACTTCTCGCCGGCTAGAAGAAAGAAAAAAGAGACAACAAAGAACTCATGAGTAATATAGGGCAAAAATTGACAAAAACCATATAACAAATAGACATTAATTAGTTGATATTATTTTCTTAATTTTTTTTTAGTCTTAGGTTATTTAGTGCATATTTCCTAATTCCTTATGAATTTGTCTTTTTGTTTTGAGGATTCTCATATTATCAAGTAAAGTTACATGATTTGGATATAGACTGTCTCATATTGTCATAATTTTGTTTCTATATTGCCCATATTGAAACTAGAAACTGTTATACACTCTTCCGATGGATATAGATAATTTATTTAAATTCAGTAATACACATATGAACATTTATTAAATATCATATTGTAACATATAATAAACAAAACTACAAATAGTATTTTATATCGCATATTATGCATGAATATCTATATTTAAAAAATAATTAAAATACTACATTTTAAAAAATTAAAATATATTTTTATATAATTTTAGTTAAACTTACAAAAGTAAAAATTAAAAAATAATTTCGACCTGTAACCCGTGCAGCGCACGGGTCCATATCTAGTATAACTATAAATTGTTGAAAATAAAAGATATTGATGAAGATTTTCTTAAAATTTCCTAATTTTTCCGAAATAATATTAAATAAGATTTTTGATAACCAACAAATAATTTCCGTTATGCTTTACGAAATCTTTTATTCAAGACATTTACCTTTATTTTACCTATAAAAATGGAAGTATTTAAAAATATTCAATAGTTAAGATGTCCATATACCTATGAATATTCTCTTGGTGATATGCAACTTTTTATCTAGATTTGGAGCAGCTCAACGTAATTATCTTCATTAAAGGAACCACAACTGTTCAAGAAACCAAAAGCTTATATGGACCAAAATAGCTCAGAGATCACTAAACATGGTGACTAAAAGATTCTTTTATTTTTTACGATTCGCCCAACAATAATAACTTATGGATGATGATGATCACAAGACTTGTATATTGAGCTTGGGTGAAGCTGTGGGAAGCTTCAACAGAGCCTCTGTGAGTTGCAGCTTTTTGGGGTCATCCATCGCAAAGGAAACATAAACTTTCAAGACTTCAAGACACTCCGTTTTCAGTAAGAAACGGCTAATGAGTTTCAGCTCGCGCGCACTTCCTTGATACTGCATGATACTCAGCATCTTTACTTGATTGTTTGGAGGAATGCGAAACCCCACAAACCGACGTCGATCCAGACCCTGAAGCATTAAGAGGAGAGACTACTTTAATTTCATACCAAAGTCATATATATAAAGTAAGCTCCATTCGTTCAGGGTTTGTTTCATACCGCGAGAACCAGAGTTTTTAAGTTTGGACAACGTTCTAGCAGAAGTGGCAGTAGAAATTTCAACTTTCGTGTTTTCCCCGAAAACTCTAAATTAATGAGGTACTCGAACACTGGTATTTCACCCTTGCAGCATAACAAAATCACCTGAAACACATACACATAAAGAATTTTTTCCTGTTTCTAACCATAGAGATGATGAGAGACCATACACTGAAACTGACCTCAACAGTAGAAGAAGTCAAGTGAAGGGTCCTGACGTTGTGTATCCCACTGAGGAGCTCTGTCACATCAGCGGCATTATCATCTAAGAAATGAATATCCAGTGTAGCTTTGGCAAGTGAATCCAAATGAATATTTGGATACCGATGCCGAACATAATCAGAGTAGTAGAGGTCGACAACACTCGGTGTGTTAAATGATTTAATGCCATAATCAACAAAATAACCACATGTATAGGTAACTGAGAGTCTCTTAATGGTTTTGCTGGATATGTAGTATGGCATTTCTACTATATGAGGTTTTTGATACATGGTTAAGTCCTCAAGTGCAGGGCAAGCAGGGAGAAACCCTCTACTCCAAGCAGCCATTAAGTTCTCTGCCATTTACTATCTTGGCGGGGACTCGCAGTCGCCTACTGCTTTATGCAACGGAGTCCAAGCTCCATCGATTGTCCCCACCGTGATGCTCCCCTCTGTTCCCCCAGGAAGTCTTGTTGTCGTCATCTGCTACCTCGCTCTCGCCGTGAACTCCTGGGATTGGTTTGGTTTGGTTCAGCCTTGCCTGTCCTCAAGTGATAGGTATGTTGCCTTCCCGTGTGCTCCGACTGCCGTAGGCATCTCGTGGGCTGGATTCCTCATGAACTGCGTGTGCACATGGATTCAGACCGGCTCTCTCTAGCTCGAACGGGCAGCCCCGATCCTCATGGGCTCTCCTCTCCATCTACATGACGTCGAAAGGTTTGGTATATGTGACCCTTTGTTGGGGGTGCATAGGCCTAGTAACAGCCTTCTGTTAGTTCCCAATTACCTCAGTATGAGGATTTATCAGTTTCAAGTACCTCATTACGAGGGATGGCACTTTGTTACATAGCCTTTGGAGATTATTGTTTCTGGTTTTGGTATTGATTTGAATAGTGCAGGTTCGAGAAAGAGCGTTGGCTTCCTTTCTGTTGTTGATGGTTTGGGTGCAGGACTAGGCTTCACGGAAGAGGACATATGTGTCATAAAGTCCCAACTAATCCAGCCACCATCACAGAAGATGGAAGCGTTCTTCAGTTTCTCGGAGGCAGCATGGTTTCAATCCAAGATCTCCTGCGGGTTGGGCTGGAGTTTCAAGGACCCACTCAACGGAAAGATCCACCATGGATATTTTTCATGACCCTTTGTGCCCTCTGTTCTCGTAGCGGTGGCACTTGCTCTCAAGGCGGCTATCATGGCGGCTTTAGCATTGGGTGTATCAAGGCTGGCTTATATTTCGGATTGTCAGGAGCTTGTTCTTCTGTCCAATACCGGTGGCCACGCAAACGAACTCTTTCGTTCTATGATTTTGTCTATGTTTGTTCCTTTTGTTCCAAGGTCTGAAAACTGTGGAGCTAAGGCTTTAGCAAATGCTAGCCTATTATCTTGTGTTCTCTCCTCCATCTGTGGAGTTTGAGTTTTTTTTTTGTTAATGTTATTTTGGTTTACAAAAAAAAAAAAAAAAAAAGAGACTCCACATTGGGCTCCTGGATTTAATGAAAATTACTTTACCCTTCAGAAGTCAGTCAAACAGAAGCTTTCATCAAAATGGAAGTTAATGTGGGTCGATAAATACATGTTTTGTTTATCTTATTTGTCTCAAATTTCGCCATCCTATTTCCGGATTCCGGTGTCTTCGACCAATTCCGTTGTTTTTTTTAATAATATCATTGGATCTGGGTTGGTATTTGGTAATGTTGTTTTAGGTGTTGTGTCACTTATTGATGGATTTCTCCGGCTTGTTTCTTTTGAGATCTCGGTTTTTGCAGAAATAATTACAGAGATTGTGTTTTGGTTTGAAGGAAAGAAAAATCTTTCGATTCATATTATATTTCGATTGGCTTAGCAACAATGACAAACAAAGGAATCAACGATCGATTGTATTTCGATAATGATCTTTTCACCGGAATTGATGCTCAACGGCAGAAATTGATGTTGGAGATTGTACAATTACTCATCGAGCATGTGTCGTGTTTGTATTCAGCATGTTGACACGTGGGTTTTGGTGGAATCCAAACAAAATTTCTTTTACAGTAGACAATAATCGCAATAATCTGATTGACTCTTATTGTACCTCAAATATGTTTCTAAACTTTTTGTGGAAGTTTTTGGTAGTTTATGTATGGTCTGGTTAACGTTTAATAAAATATTACAATTGGGAAAAATAGAAATCTATTTTTTTTTTTTTTTTTGTCAATCAAATAGAAATCTATTTTAAATGCTAAAAATACAAGTAACATAAACGAGTATTTAATTTTATGGATAACATGTAATATATATTAAAAATATTAAGTTTTTCAAATTTCTGTTCAAGTAGAAATTTAGTTTCAGGTCTTTGACATAAAAAATAAAAGCTATTTATAGTTTCAGGCATTTATGAAAACAATAATGATAAAATATCAATATTTCAAATATATACGACGACCGTCATTTTCATGAGGCAAAAGGTCAAAAATGGATATTTTTGTGAAGTCCGTTATGTCAATAAAACCGTTAAAACCTCATCATAGCCGTTACATCTTCTCCCCAACGGGCGCTTAGTTCTTACTTTCCCTATTTAAACTTGAAAAAAAAACAATTTCACAAAATTCACAAATACAAAATCAATGGCTTCTTTTCACAGAAAGTTATGTTTGTTCCAAAACATTATTGTATCGTGTCTGAATTTCACACTCCTCCTCCTCTCCCTCTGTTCTTTCATACCAATCATTCTTCTTAGAAACCCTCCAACATCACTCGGTTTAGCCTTCCTCGCGGTCTCTCTAGTCTCTCTGATCTCCTCTTTTGGTGGTGCCTCTTCGCACCAATCTCGATCCTGTTTCATCGCACGGATCACGCTTCATGTTTCCTCATTGACGGGTCAATTGATGGCAGTTTTAATGTTGTTTAGTAGAGAGAAACAGAGTCTTTCTTTGCTGATATCGCCTAGAGACCCTAGAGAGGCTAAAGCTTTGGTTAGGATTGAATGTGTGGTTTTCATGGCGATGATTCCGTTACAGACGATGGTTCTTGTTATGGCTTGTGTATTGCATTGTTATTGGGTTAGAGAGTTCCAAGGGTTAGATGTGGAGACTGAAGACTCTTTTAGAAGAAAATGTAACCGAAGAGTCTCGACTGTTGAAGAAGCGACTGGTTTGGATGTTAAAACAATGGAATCGGACGAGAAGACGAATGCGAAACATGTTCAGTGGGTCAAAAACGATTTCGAAGGTTAAGTAAAAAGTGGAATCACTCTTGTGAATGTTGGTGGCTGTTGGTTGTTTTATATATGAGTCTATAGTTTGCGTTTATGGTTCAACGTTATATTTTACGTCTTGGTTTAACAAAATTTTCGGTAGGTTCTCTACAATGTTGTAAGTAATATGTATGGCTATACTTGAAATGTTTTAGTACTAGTCGATCTTGTGTTTCTTTCTCATACATCCACCAATAGTGGATAGTTACATACATACACTAGTACAAAGATGCATGTATTTATTTTGCATTTTTACATAACCATAAGAAAGGTATATTTCAAGAACAATATCATCATACTAGGATCCATTAGCTGAATCAAGCAGTACTGTTCTTATGATCTCAGAGATTCACAGCAAATTCTTCGCCTCAACGATCAAATACATCCTAATGTAAAAAGAAAAAGCACCAAAAACAACTAATCCAAAAAGGAAAAGCACCAAAAACCTAATTAGAAACTCTTTAAGACTGGGCTCGGATTTGAGCTCCTTATGACTGGGCTCGGGTCTGGACACCTCTATGGTCATACCTGATTCCATATCTCGAATAAATACTTTTAGTTTGGATGAAGATGTGGGAAGCTTCAACAGATCCTCTGTGAGTTCGAGTTGCATCATATTGGATTCATTCAATTCATTTTCAACGTAGACTTTCACAACTTCAAGACACTCCATTTTCAATAAGAAATGGCTAATGTGTTTCAACTCGTTTTCACTTCCTCTGTACTCCATGATACTCAACATCTTTATTTGGTTATTTGGGGGAAACCGAATCCCCACAAACCGATTTGGTCTATATGTGTAACGATGCAGACCCTGAAGCATCAGAACGATCGAGAATACTATAATTTCATACCATATTCACATATATATAATAAAGTACGATTTGTTCAGGGTTTGCTTCATACCGAGAGAACCAGAGTTTTTAGGTTTGGAGAATTCTCTAGCAGAAGCGGCAGAAGCTTCCGAAAACCTCGTTTGTTACTCGAAAACACTAACTCAACGAGGTTGTTGAACACCGGTAGTCCACTTTTGCAGCAGGCAAAAATAATCTGAAACATACACACAAAGAATGTCTCCATGTTCCTAACCAAAAGATGATGAGATCATACACTAAAACTGACCTCGGCAGTAGAAGAAGTCAAGGTAAGGGTCTTGACGTTGCGTATCCCGCTGATGAGAGCTGTCACATCCCCGTCAACCAGCTTGGAATAGGATTCTTCAAAATTAAGGTCAAGTGTAGCTTTGGCAAGTGAATCCAAATTACAATATAATGACTGATGAGGCCGAGCATAATCAGAGTAGTAGAGGTCCACAACACTCAGTGTGTCAAGTGAAATAATGCCAGAATAATCGTATGATTCACAATGGTAATAGGCAACGAAGAGTTTCTTAATGGTTTTGCTGGATATGACGTGTGGTTTTTTTAGTGGAAACCTCTGGGTCTGATGTATGGTTAAGTCCTCAAGTGCGGGGCAAGCAGCGAGAAACACATTTAATAATTGACTATCCGTAAAACTAATGGAATCAAGGAAGAGAACCTTTAGCGCTGGGAGAGATATATCCAAAGGAAAGCTTGAGATGCAATGTTCTCTTCCCAATGACAGCTTAACGAGTTTTGTGCTGGTGAAGATTTTCGATGGGAGATCAAGGTACCACACCATATATTTGAAGCATAGATGAAGCTCGGAGACACCGTGTTCCAATGCATTGCATATCCAGCGGTCAACAACAAGCTTACCATGTCCTTCTCTTAAATTCTTTTGTGTAGACATACACATATTTTCATTAAATTCCATTGACAACTTCTTTATACGGTTATTGCCTTGCAAATTTGCCAATGTCTTGTACACGAAATACCCGAAACTCTTTCTTTTACTCTTCTCGGGGTGACAAAAGATGGAATCGTTACAGTCAAGATTAGGACTGAAAGTAAACAGAGTCCTCCACCTCTTGGAAAGTATGGAGGTTGAAGCAGCTTCATTCGTGGGAAGGAAGGACAAGATTTGGACAAGAAGATCATCAGGAAGACAATCTATTGAACACATAGAGACAGACTCCATCTCTACAATAGAACATGAATTATGAGGTCAAAATCCACTACTAATAAAAAGAAGTATTATAACCTAACATCATCAATAAGACACTAAGACACTAACAATTAGACTAATCAAATTTGAGAGAAATTTCAGATTCTTAATCGAAATCGACTTAACTAAACTCCAAATCTTGACTTCATCAAAATAAAAACATTGAAGAAACGGGCAAAAAAGAAAAATCTTACATAAGAATTGAGTGAAGCAGCCACAGATTATGTTCTTGCTTCGTCGCCAATTAATCTTTAAACTCTTCTCAGTTATATTATGTCGTTTCAAAATTGATAATACAGACTATATATAAAATATGTGTATCTGCTGTAAAAAAAATAAAAAAAAATATGTGTATCTAGTATATATTTATTAGGATTTACCATGTTTAAGAAAAAAATATATTGTTCATTTAAAAGCCATTTTGCATTATAATTAAGATTGACAGATTATATTTCTTATATTTTTTTTTTGAAATATATTTATTAATAAGAAATCATGGATAGCTCCCAAAATAACGATTTTAATTAGTGCTTTATGTATGTGTTTCCATTTTCAATTATTTTTCTAATATTAAGATATAGGAAAATATGAAACTGATTCTTAGACTTTCTAAATCTTTTTTTTTTCCTTCTGACTTTCTAAATCTTTAGTTCCCATTATTTAAGATGAAAAAATATAGAAAATATAAAAATGGGAAAATCCATATTGTAGAAGTGCTATGAGATATTGTGAAATTTATATACTTAACAGATGTCAAAATTTAGTTTCATGAATAGAATTTTGGGACATTCTCAATAGACCACTAAAATGAGTTTTTGTTCCAAAAACACCATCACTATTTTTTCTCAAAAATATCAATAAAAATATATTTTTTTTTCCAAAATTACCACAAATGACAAAACTAAAGTCTAAAACTAAACTTTAAACCTTCAAAACTAAATCATAAAACCTAACAAATAAACCCTAAACCCTAAAAACTAAGACCAAAATTTTAAATTATAAACCCTTAAAAATCATTTTTAGTGTTGGTGGTTAGATTGTAGTGGTATTTTTGAAAAAAAAAAAAAATAGTGATAGTATTTTTGGCCTTTGGGACAAAAGAGAGCTTAATTTAACCGAAAAGTCTCGACCGTTGAAGAAGCGACTGGTTCGGATACGAAAGAGGAACATGTTCAGTGGGTCGAAACAGATTGGGAAGGTTAAGTTAATTAAAAGTGGAATAACTCTTTTGAATTTCTTCGCTTCTTTGATTGTTCATCGGATCACTATGTTGGTGGCTGTTAGTGTTTTTATGAGTGTCCACATTTTGTGTTAATTATTTACGGATATTCAAAGTTATATTTTATATCTTGGTTAAAAAAATAAACTTATGTGTTGTAACCAAACTCTGTTAAGCGTCTCCACAATGTTGTTAGTATATGCTTTGGTTACGTCAAATGTTTCAGTACTGGTCGATCTAAGCTTTTTTTTTCTCGTACATCCAACTTTAGTGGATAGTTACATACATACACTAGTACAAAGATGCATGTATCCGAAATGTTAAAGCCTATGCGGTGGAGCTGTGGCTAGGTCTTTTATGTTCCTAATATCATCATACTAAGATCAATTCGCTGAATCCAGTACTGTTCCTATATATGATCTCAGAGATTCACAGCAAATTCTACGGCTCAACGATCAAACACATACCTATCAGAGCAGACGAAGGCGATGCCAAACCGAAAAACAAAGCAAAGCAATACAAAAAAATCAAAAGCTATACCTTATGAAGGTTGAACTTCTCATCATCAACAACCAGTATCAGCCCTGTTTTAAAAAACATGCAAATTTAAATTCCAGCTCTCCACAAGATAGAGGAGAATTCCATCTTATGTAATGTATAAGGCAATCTTCAAAATGCGATATGGCAAGTATTGAGTTGAAAAAAACCGCCAACTTATCTTTGACAATGGAAAGAATTTTGGGCGCTTTCGTTTGCTGTTACAAAACCTAATGTAAAAAGAAAAAGCACCAAAAACAACCTAATCCAAAAAGGAAAGGCACCAAAAACCTAATTAGAAACTCTTTAAGACTGCAGGGCTCGGGTTTGGACACCTCTACGGTTGTATGTGATACCGCATCTCGTATCAATATCTTGAACTTGCGTGTAGCAGTGGCAAGATTCAACAGATCCTTCATTATCTTGAGCTTGGGTGTAGCCGTGGCAAGCTTCAACAGATCCTTCAATATCTTGAGCTTGGGTGAAGCGGTGGCAAGCTTCAACAGATCCTTTGTGAGTTGCACCATTTTGGGGTCATCCATTGGAGATGACACATACACTTTTACAACTTCAAGACACTCCATTTTATTTAAGAAATGGCTTATGTGTTTCAGCTCGTGTGCACTTCCTTGATACTGCTTGATACTCAACATCTTTACTTGGTTATTTGTGGGAATGGGAATCTCCACAAACCGATTTCTTCTATTTGTGTAACGATGCAGACCCTGAAGCATCAAGACGAGAGGCTACTTTGATGTCATGATGCCATAGTCATATATATATATATATATATATATATATATATATATATATATATATATATAAAGTAAGATTTGTCCAGGGTTTACTTCATACCGAGAGAACTAGAGTTTTTAGGTTTGGAGAACGCTCGAGCAGAAGTGGCAGAAGCACTCTCCAATCTTTTTTTTTTACTCGAATACACTAACTCACGGAGGTTGTTGAACACCGGTATTCCACCTTTGCAGCATACTGAGATCACCTGAAATATACACACAAAGAATGTTTTTCTTTGGCAGTCGGCATCTAAAAAAGATGATGAGAGTATATACTAAAAAACAGACCTCGACAGCAGAAGAAGTCAAGTGCAGGGTCTTGACGTTGCGTATCCCGCTAATGAGAGCCGTCACATCCCCGTTAACTAGCCCATATGATTCTTTTGCGAAAGTAAGGTCCAATGTAGCTCTGGCAAGTGAATCCAAATTATAATGGAGAGACTGATGAGGCCGAGCATAACCAGAGTA